CGAGCCACTCACCATCCAGGAGAAAGTCAAGGCATACAAATCATCGAAGCTTGAGATGGCTAATTATGAAAAGAAGCTTCCTACCATTCCTGTCGATCCATGGGGCGTGGTGAATGAAGACAAGCAGTTTGAAAAGCCACAAAAGAAACGTACCGTCAAGAGACTTCCGAATTTGGATATACCGGACGAGCACCTGCAAGAGTGGAATTTCCAAATAATGCCTCGAGTGAGTCGTCTTCTTCAGAAGATCTTAAAGGAGTCTTCTGAGTCGTGTGGAGTAAACCTCATCATGACTGGCGAATCGTCTGAAAGTGCCAAAACGACAATCTGCGTTACTTGCGCCAGTGTGAAGAAAGTTCGAATGGCCCTCAAGAAGCACTTTTCTCTTGGTCGGGACGACTGGGATTTGATTGTCCTCCGTGGGGACATCGAACGGTCCAAGGTTCCTCGGAACAGGCGCCGGAGGCCCGCCAAGGCTCGCCCCAATATCTCCAATGATACACCCTTTCGTCAGCGAGAGCTCAACCCATGTCATCAACAGCGACCTCTATGCGGAGCATCTATCGGGGCCTTTCAGAATGAAGAGCACTTACCGCCTGTCTCATATGGCGGTGCCGTCTTTGTCGATGGCTTGCCGTATGGTCTGACAGTCCACCATATGTTGGAAGCTCCTAGTGAAGATGAAGGCCAAGACAGTAGCCCCGGAGACTCCAATCAAGATACACCCTCCAGGTCGTCGGCGGGGAATTGGCCCCGTGATACACCAAATATCCCACATCCTGGATTCATGTACGACTATCAAGAAGATGAATCGCCTGACATTAATTTCGATTTCGAAATTTCCGATCTGGAGGACGGAGACGATCCATCGCAAGGCCTTGAGTCTGGGTATGATGAATTCTGGCTTTCAGACGATGATTCATCCGATGATGAATCCGTCGGCCCAGACGACGATGACGGTGACACCGCGTCCATCGGCGATACTGCCGGTGTCGAACCAGGTGAAGAACCTCGGCTGCTTGTCACCCAACCAGCCATTGACGACGTACACGAAGACTTTTTTCCATCTCCAGAAGATCGCGATGACGAGCACCTAGCCTCACACTCCCTAGGCTACGTACACGCATCCTCTGGAGTACGACGTTGGACCCGAAAGGGTCTGAAACATGAGATTGACTGGGCACTCATCAAAGTCGATGAAGCCCGCATGGACCCTCGCAACATCATTCTCGATACTACCAGATCCAGTATCGCTCGTCCGGGACGCCCTATCCCCCCACAACCCATATTTCTGAACCAGGTGGCCCGGATGGAGGAGCTAGGTGGTTTGCAAGTTCATTGCTGTGGCCGCACAAGTGGACTGCAGACAGGACAGATATCCAAGGCTATGACATTGGTCAAACTTCATGGACGTCATTCATTCTCAACCAGCTTTTGCGTCAATGGGAACTTTGGAGGTAAGAGGTGCACTTCAGCGAATCTATGTTTATGTCTATACGATCCTTAATTAGATACCCTTTGTTGTTTTTTTCATGCACACCCATCATTTGTTGCCCTCCTTAGCTGGTAAACATACAGCACCATTGGATCCTAAGACATCAGCTCGTATCGAGTAAACATTTCATGAAGCTAATCTTTCCTTATTCGACAGCCCCTGGTGACTCCGGCGCATGGGTCTTCGACCGTCCCACCGGCCGTGTGTGCGGCCATGTTCTTGCCTGGTCCGCAAAAAGCAACACCACCTACATATCCCCTATGGAGGTCACCTTCGATGACATCGCCCGCACCCTCGGCGCCTCCATCGTCTCCCTTCCCGGCGACCCGAACCGATCCATGGGTTACGTCGACCCTACATCCCCACAGGCTGCCCAATACCGCTACCAGGCACAGCGACTCCCAGAGGACTTTGGCCGTTTGGCTTTTGGTGCGGGAGGTTCTCCCGGTCCGCCTGTACCACCCCACCCACATCATTATCCTCACCCTCAAGCTCACCACCCGCGATACGGACGTCCTCTACCTCCCCCTCCACCCCCTCCTGGCTCCCGAGAAGCCCATGGGCCCGTGTATAGCGGCCCAGTCCCTCCAATTCCGCCGTCGCTTCTGGCTGGGCCCCGCAATATCGAGCGACAACTTGCTTGATTCTTGGATGATTTAGAATATGGGCATAATGTTTTGAGATTCATGTTATATTGTTCTGGGTATAATGGTTTCCTATTATGATGATGTTTATGGACCTTGAGGATACCCATGATGGAACGATTTTTGGTTCCCTTTTCGTTAGATGCTTTAGGAATTATATCAAGTGAACTATTCAAAGAGAAGTATTCATGAAATGTGATACCACTCGATTTGAACACACCCATCTCTAGACTGGTCTTAATTCGATCTGTCGGCGTCGTATCAACCCTGCCCAGGTGATTTATGCTTGCTTTATCGATTATCACCTTTGAACCAGAATGCGAAGTTTACCATTGCTATTTGCAGCTATGTCTCATATCACGCCAGGAAGGCCCAAATCTCCTCTCTTCATAAAACGCTATACATCGTTTGTAGTTATGGATTAGCCAATAGACAGCAGCAGCCACATCCTAACACCAGGATCTAATGGGACCTTTTATTCTGGGCCAAGAGGAGGGTGAGAATGCTGGCGTCTTTGATATTCCTAATCCTGCGGCCCGTTCTCTCTATATATTGCCATTCGATGCTATGAAACTTCATAGTCTATGGCACATTGCAGTACATTTTCTACTCACCATCGGGTCTTCGTGAAAGTACATGTACAAATATGGATATAATGCTGATCTACGTGAGATGGGCTATTAATCTCTCCTGAATACTCCATAGTTCCGGATTAATTATAAAAACACATTTTGTATGTATTCCCCCTTCAGTAGGTATGTCTTGCTACAGACCATCTCTGCCTATTTGGACAAGAAGAAAGGAGAGAATGACGACTGTATTTCAAATATGAGTAGATGCGTTCCAATTCTTAGATTTGATATCAGTCATGCCATAAAGTAAGCCTGTATATAGTATACCGCCATAATATCATAAATCTGCAACAAAAATAATGTTTCTTAGTCAAGCATCCTATGGAGAGGGCGATAATGAAGACTCTTGATATCTGGGGGTAGGATTGTGTTAGGGTCGGAGATCTAGTGCGGCTTTACACGCCGAGTGGCACCAACCCAGCAGTCTCATAGTACGGCTTACTTATAGATGATACCACAAGGGTTCTCAATGCAACGCAAGTTTAACATTCAACCAAACAGAACGTGAGCATTCTCTCTTAGGGGGTGGAATGATACCCACATCTCCGCCGGACCATATATTTAAGCTGCCAACCCTTTTTCTTTGTAGCTCTTTACTCAATGTCTCTCCTACTGAGTAAGTTCGTCCAGCCCTTGTGTAAGCTCGAAGCCCCGTTGAACCACCCAGATAACCTTGAATCTTGCATCGGGTGGGTTAAGAGTTGACATAAAACCACCTAGAGAGCAAGAAATGGCGAGACAGTAACCCAAGAATGTGACATGAGCCTTGACTAGGGGACTCGAGATATTGTCTTTGTACAATACTAATGTACCAAGGAGCACTATGGTATGAGTATATAGTCATGCTATATTCCGTGCGAGAACCACCATTTGGTCTGCCTTTCACAGAGCCGCAGACTATTCAAAAGGTCTTTAACAACATTAAACAGAACGTATCAACGTGAATTCAGCTCAACAGACTAAGAAGGTGAGCTCAATCCTGTTATACCGAATGTTACCTCTTGAAAATTCGAGACTATGGTTCAACAATCACTTGAATAGAGTTTCTTATGCTTATAGCTCAATTTCAACAGGAACAGCACATCTAAATTATTTCCAGCCAGCCCAATGGCGATTCACAGGTATTTTGCGCTTCTAATTTTAGGGCTCATCTTACTAGCAACCGATGTCCTAGGGGCAAGAGTTTCTTATGCTTATAGCTCATTTTCAACAGGAACAGCACATCTAAATTATTTCCAGCCAGCCCAATGGCGATTCACAGGTATTTTTCGCTTCTAATTTTAGGGCTCATCTTACTAGCAACCGATGTCCTAGGGGCAAGGGTAGTTTACACAGCAGGGTACACGGAAGGGCTTGGGGGCCATCCGTCGTCTACCAGGCGCCTCGGAGAGATAGCAGATGAACATGTTGAACCACTTCTAGAACACATTGGACAATGGTCGAGTGGAAGATACACAGCCGAGAGGAGCAGACACAATCTCATCAACGTGCGAGCACGCGAACGCGTGAGAACACTTAGTCAGGCGCATCAAGAGGTACAGGACATGATTCACCTGGTTTTCCAGTACCTGAGAGAGTGTCGTGCGGCTTCTCCGGGATCTGAGTGAATTGTCGATGCATATGTAGGTTTTTCCCAGTTCGATAGCGAAGAGGCTAGTTTCCTATTCATATGGCTGACTAATTTTTGAACTCCAGAGTCTGTTTAGCGGGATGCCGGTTTTGTTGAGAGAAAGAAATGTAGTACCACCAGATATACTAAGGAATCATGTTAGCCTATGGCTTTGTAGTAAGTTCGGGAATTGTGTAGGATAACTGCCCAGGTGCATGGCTATGTAGGTAACTGGTGAGCACGTGAGCCTTTGAAACCTAATTATCCATGGATGTCGCAAGGTGTGCCCGGTACTTCTACTTTCCTGGTCGTAATTAATAATCCCCACAATTATTGACGTTCTCCTTACATATAAATTTGCAAAGGGGAGAGCAATAATTCATACAGGATTTGATTCGTGAAATAACTTCCTAAGCTCCATGAGCTGGTGACAATCCACTGACAGGTTGATGCTAAAGACAAATTCGGTCACCGGCAAAGACAATGGTCACTCACTCCTGCACAATCCCCCAGAGCATTCCTCTTAGCTGAAACAAAAGTAGATCAGACGGAAGTCGATGTGCGTCGTGGCCGTGGTCGGGATCGGTGTGTTGTCGGTGGTCTGGGACGTAAAGGAACATTCACAGTCTGACGGCATAGACAGGCCGTATCTCAAAGGCGGTGGTGCGTTCTCCGCCGGATGGACTAGGAAGTTCAGATACCATTTGACTGGCCTCCAATACTCGGTTGTAGCAGAGCGCATGGAGGATTTCGCGGCCACAGTTTGGGCTCTTCACGTCAAATCTCTTCTTATGTCGATTCCAAGCAAGTGCTTTCGCCTTTTGTGAGTCGTCAATCTCCCACCGCGGCTGAGCTTTTGCACAGTTACCATGGATGATATCAAAGCTTGGGTGCTCACCGGCGATGACATACATAACTGTATCACCGGAAAAACAGTGAATTGCGTCGAGAACGAAATTCAAAGACGCATCCTCCATCAACACACGCTCAGAGATAGCGAAAGAGCCAGTATCGATAGGAACAGTAAGCGTTTGTCGAGGATCATTAGCCAGTGCATGCACCCCCCAGCACTCCTTGGCAAAAGCTTCAAGTGAATCTTGACCAAACCATATCACGTCACGCATTGGGTCAAACGTGCGTAAGAAGATAAGACCCTGTCTGCCCTCATGAAATTGGACCTCAATGCCCTGCTTGAGAGCCCATTCAATGGCGACGCTGCGAGCTTCATGGCTCACGGCGGTGAGTGGTGTCTTCACACGGATAGGATCAAGCAATTCGTGATGAAGCTCCATCTCCACAGAAGCCAGATGGAAGGTATCTTCCTGCTCGCTTTCGGTCACAGGAACAGGACGCCAACAACCGGCTTGGTAAGGAGACATTGCCGGCGGGTCAATCTCTGGCAAGGCCGCATGCCATATCAGGATTCGTAGTTCGGGAGGAAGGCGGGAAAATGGATGGAAAGTTGGGAATCCGGCCGTCAACACGGGCAAGTCCGAGATACTCATGGCTTGAAGATATCAGATTTGAAGAATAGTTGACGATTGGGATTCTCCTGTAAAGTAAGTTGGTAGCGAATAGACTCGGGTCGTGGTTACACCTGATTTTGTCGCCGGAGCCTAAGGCAATCGTCGTTCTACCACCGTGGAGAATGACTCGACACTTACGTTTCGTTTTGATGAAATGGCACGTTGCCTAGGTGTTGGAGGCTTGCTACCAAAACCGAGGAAGAGAAGAGTAAAAAACACGATCACATGAAGTATGAATGTAAACAACGATATCGAAGGCGGTCAATGTGGCGTGGCGAGCTAGACTGCCAGCCTCCAAAACTAGATATCGATATCTGTTTTGATTCGCGCTATTGCAAGAGGTCATGGTATATTAAACCCTTCATTCTATCGATGGCAAGATTCCTATATTGACAATGGGTATTACAGTTTTAGGACTTGAAAATTAACGATCTGCGGAGGGACAATTAAATGAATATCATATAGCCATTTTCAGCATTCGGGCTAATGAACATAGTGAACTAGATATATAGAGGCAAGACAGCAGAAAGAGAATGTGATTGTGTATGCACATGTTTCTATGAGATATTAAATGGTATTCTGAAGAACAAAGAGGAGGCATAAAGGACTATGTGTAGATTGTCAGTGAGATGGAAGTCGACCCAAAATATGGGTCACGCTGGTGAAGCCACTGACCAGCATTGCTATACAACTTTTACGGAGTTCATGATTTATTATCCATTGGTTGAGCATGGAGAGGGAAATATTAGTAGAAGTTTGCTTCTCTATATTGGTGCATTAGCCGTTCATACCCTCTCCAGCCTAAATAGGAAATGGCCATGAAGTAGGTGACTCGTGACTTGAAAAATTGCCGCCATTATCTTCGGACTTGCCTTGTTGGTAAACAGTAAGTATACGAGTGTCTGTCCGCCCAGAAACGTCTTCGTCTACAGCGCGTCCGTTCCAAAATCTCTCACTTCTCTCTTTTCCTTCATTCATACCGAAGGATCTTGTATCTCACAATTCACTTTGCTATTACATCTTTCTTACCTGGTGAGTATTCTTTTAGAAAGGTATATTCTTTCGGAGACTGCTAGGGCATATTGTCATTCGGTATCCTGGGGGTGGACACGTCTCTGACTTCATACTTCGCTCGCAGATTGATCGGTTTTTCTCCCACAATGCACCACTTGTACAATTTCCGCGGATATCCTGAGCCGGGATCTCAGCCCATCGAGGATTGGCCATGCACCGTTCGTAAAGCCACGGATCTTCTCAAGGCGTGGTATGATAGTGACAAACCCTTCTTCACAAAGAAGGATCTGAAGAGCGTCTCGAACCAGCTCAATCGCCGGTACAACACTCGGAGACAGAACAACTCTCAGAAGCAATTGATCACTGTCAAAGGTCTCAGTGGATCAAACCTTTCTTATGAAGTTTTGACCGGTCAGGTTCTCACCGGTAAGGGGTATAACCAAGAGTGGGAAATGTAAGTTGTCCCTCATCAGATCAGGGCTCTTCTGGCACGTGACACCCAGCTAATACATATCAAACAGCCAACGACCAAAGATTCGTTACCTCTGCTATGAGCAACTCACATCGTCAGTGGAGTCAGGGCGTATTGGATTGGAAGAGGCCTTCTTCCCATTGCAGATTGAGCATTTCATGCTCAAACGCGCGAGTGACACTAAGCTTCCTGTTCTCTCTGACTGCATTGAGAACCCCGTGCCTGTAGATGAGTTTCTACAAAGTACTCTGAAGTCCTGGAAGCAGTCTCCCGAATGGGTAAATCTCGAGGCCCTTCTCAAACTAGTCGCCACTCACAAAATCACAAAGGTTGTTGGAATTGCATCGGGATCGATGGAGTTTGGACCCGACGACGAAGACTGCACCATGCGCAGCGCCGTGCAGCATTCCCTCATGATCTCGATCAAGGAATCAATTGAAGAGAAGACCGACCAGCAAATCCGATGCTATGCTCAAGATCCCCGCTACACCTCCGCCGACAGCAGGGCTCTTGCTCAATATGGTTGCGAAGTTCTGGAAGACCCCCAAGCTTTGCTTGAAATTGATGATGACTGTGTTCTGTTTTCCTGCTGCCCATCTCTCCCAGTGAAGGAGATTACTGCTGACTTTGCTCGTCCCGCCATGCTTGTTTGGGATTCATTTGATAATGACCGGGGGCGTAGGTGGTGAGTCTAATTCTGATTCTGATGCTGTATTCAATTTATCTTGCTAACTGACCAGGTCTCCAAGTCATAACCCGGACTCCGCCCGCGTACTGAACATGATCGATAACGAGTACGACTACTATGAGTTTTGGGACATGCATGAGTTTGAAGAAGCTCCCTTCACGTCCCACCTTGTTGCTTACATCCGCCGTAAGGTGGAGTAAGTTCATCTTGCGATGATTTGTTAGATTAGGGTGTGCCAGGGGCGATACGCAAAGGCCTATATGGCCCCTTTAAGCTTGGGGGGAATGATGCAGTTTATATGGGTTGTCAGGGATATTTAAAGGCCCAGAAAAGTCTTTGTTTGAGTAAAGGCCAGTTGTTTGAAGAAAATGCATGTTTATGATTATCAATCAATCTCTTCATCTCACTGCATATTAACTTTGTAGTAATTGCTCAGGGTTCTTTGCCCTGCACCAATGAAAGTACTTAATAAAGCCTGATATTGCACCACCTATACAGTCGCATCATGAACGTTGAAATACACAAACAGCCTTCCAAGGATGTTCTATGGACCCACTTGGTGCGACCCACTAACCTTATCCTAAAAAGGCCCAAGTTATTTATCACATCTGTCTTTAATTGTCTTCCATATGAGCATTGCATTGAAGGATTGGTGAATAGTTCAGAGCTCTACAATTTGTTTCTTTTATATTTGGTGATCATCACTAGGATTCCCAAATACTTTCGACTATGCTCTGCCATTCGTTTTCCCATATTGTCCACTACCGATTAGCCCTTAATCAAGGTAGTACATATTTCCCAAAGGTTGTTTCCATTGGTTGTATTAAAATTGAAGCGGCTTTGGGGCTGTCTATCGCCTGTTTCATGGGATCACATTGTACCAAGTCTTCCATCGATTCCATAGTTAGATTTGAAGATGCTACAATCTATGCGCCCTGACAGGACCAGCCGTCAGTGATATGGTGGACCGCGGTATATTAGTTGTGGGGAGTGCATGATCGTGTCAGAGGTGACAATGCACTTCTGAAACCCAAAACCTCCATACCAGTGAGGCTTTTTTGAGTCGTGGCTAGCCAGCAGCAAATCTAGGCCTCATCGGGTGCAGCCGCATTTGGCTGCTCGTACTCATTTTCCTACTCCTCCTCGTCCTCGTCGATACTCTCCCATTCATCTTCGCCGTCGCTCTGTTCGAAATCCACCTCATCGCCAAGCATGCTAAGCAGCTGTAGCAATCCGGCCTGTGTGCGCCAGGCGTCTTCAGATGGCAAATTTGGGCCGGAGCCACCAAGACCCCCGATACCCGCCGCTGAAGGCTCATCCGTATCACTGGAGGCAGAGGGTGGTTTATTTGTGAGGTCAGGAGCCAGGCTGAGTATGCGGATGACTTTTGTAGGAAAGACGCGAGGAAGATTTCTGCCTTGTGGAGGTACGCCACCTGGAATATTCGAGTCACGCCAGCCAAGGGTCTGCGAGTTCTGATGTTAGCTATTCTGCCTTTTATTTATGTTAGGTCAAATAAGGAGCTCACGGTGTAGGTGGTCATAATAGCATCATCGGCCAGCGCCATGTAACTGATTGGCACAGCAAGCTGCGGCGCAGAGCTCGTGAGCAACGAGTACGATGCACGAGCAGGGTTTTCCACATTTTGAACCTTGTTGTTGTCATCAAGGGCGACAACATAGATCCGATCTTGAATTTCGAACATCACACGGTGGTTGCGGATTGATAGCCAGCCACCAAGGTCAAAGCTTGACCCGTCTGATTCGCATTCCAGGATGGAGCTGTTTGCTGCAAGGCTAGCTTCATCGCGGAGAGCCTTGCGGAAGTCGGGGCATATAAACACACGACCAGCGCGAGAGAAGCCCACGAAGAGATCGCCGTGCAACATTCCCGCTCCCCATTCATCCTCCCCATGCCAGACGTGACCTGGGTCATCCGGTGGTGACAGTGGACCTTTCGCGATCTCAATTGGTACCAAACAATCGTTTCGGAAAGCCCCGGGCGGGAGTGGTTGAGGTGTTGGGCCAAGTCGTGCAGCGCCTGCTAGTGCTGCACTCGTAGAAGCAGAGGCGGCTTGCGGAGGAAGGATGTGATATTTTTCTGTGGACTTTGGCGGTTTCAAAGTGCCCAAGAACGCACCAGACTCCTTGTTGTAGGCAAAATAGCCTTTTGCTCCCATAGAGTATATGACAATGTCCTCGCTTTGGTCCAGATGGCCAATCCCACCTCCTTCAATCTTCAAATGTGTGGTCAACGTAGGGGGCCGCTGTGTCATATCGTATACAAAACCCTGACCCTCGTTGGAAACAACACAAAGAGTCGAGTAGGATAATTGGAAACCTCTTGTCTGGCAATTATGCGCCAAGGTGGCAATGCGCCGGAACTCTCCACGCCTTGCACCTTCGAGATCTGCCTGCCAAACCTCGAGCGAATCTCCTTCACTGTCAAACACAGCCATTCCATCCTGATATTCCAAGTGTGCATGTGGGCGAACTCCATCTTCATCATCCTTCAGCACAGGAAGCTGCCAGAGGATACGACCCGTGTCCATATCGGTGACATTCAGCCCACCAGCATGGGAAGTAGAGACAAAAAAGCGGCGCTTGAAGTCGGCACGGAATCGCCAAACAGGATCATTGCCGATTTGTAGCACAGACTCTTGGCTGACTGGATGCGGCTCGGCCCAATTTCGGGCCAGCAGTGTCTGGCGTTTGCATAGGTCTTTCCATGATTCTGTGCCCTCGAATACTTTTCCAAAGCTGTGGGTATCGGAGAGGAAAGAGAAATCGCGGCTGCCTCCAACTGGCTGGGCAGTTTTGGCTTCGGATGTGTAAATGGCATCTTGGTGAGTGACGTCGATAAATTGGTGCCAAGCCTTGGAGGCCGCAGTCAGGGACGCCAGTGCGGAGACGGGGGTGAAGTGCAAGATTTGCAGGACAATCTCTGGGGGTAAGACAGTGAGAGGGTCCGCCATGGGTAATATGGTGATCATATTTGCAAAGATGAGTTGCAGAAAGTAAGAGAGGTGGGGGATTTATATTTTGTTCTCCACTGTATATGCGATGACGTAGTTCTGTTTCCGTAGACACAAACAAATAGCCCTGGGAAGTAGAGCCCTAAATTTAAGCTTAAATTATTATTGTTCCTAGTCTGATCGCCAATTCCTCCAACTAGATTCCCAACCAAATCTCCGTAATCTTCGCCTCATTTCAAGATCCATCATTCGCTCTTCCATATCCCGCACAAACTCTTGCCGGTCTCTATAGCGTCTTCTGAATCCTTTCGCAATGATTGGGATAATCTCCCACCCAAAAAAAAGCAAAAGACCAGCAAATAAAGCAAACAGTTGATCTTCTTCGTTAATTGACTGGGGGGCACATGGCATGAAGAAACATGATTGTGATGCCTTGATACTGCGGGTCACATATCCCGCGAATGCGTACCAACCACTCGCACATCCAACCAAACAAATCCAATATAACGGACAAAAGAGCAAGAGTAAATAGAGAAAAAATGGAGCTAGTGGTAACATCCCAATCCACCATCTGGGATCTCCTGTGATGTTGATTATGATGATCGAGGTTGGCACCACAAAGAGTGACCCGTAGACAAAATAAACCAGCACCTTGTACGCCATTCTTGATGCTGTCACTTTAAGAAATGTTTCTTCCAACAGTTTCAGCAATCCAGGGCACATGTTGGGTACTAATGATATGTCCATATATCCAAGCAGCCATACAGAGGATGGCAGGATATAATATGGAGTGCTAACAGCAACAGCCAAATTAAGGTCATAAGCCCCGCTATGCATTGCATGCCAATATAGCGCAGGCACATTCATGGTTCTGAGAGGAGCAGAGTGCATGAGCGCGAGACAGGGCAATATCATTCCGAGCAAGAGTGTCCACAACCGATATCGCTGGGCCTTTCGGGTGTCGAATATGATCATTGCAAGGAGATACTGCATCAAGCCATGAAAGGTTCCCCAAAAGGTGACATTGAATGCCGCCCCAATAGAACCTTTTAGGCTGCCCAAATCTGCATCGTAGGTCAAGGAGTCGAGCGGAATGCTTTGGGCCATGCGGATTACGCGGAAAAGAGCAACCGCGGCCCAGTTGGTGCCGAGCAGAAATAGCCATGTATTTGGATCAAATCTATCTTCTGAAACGCGAAGGAGCCGGCACCACGACGCCACGATTGAGATGAACCATGCTGCCCAACTTCCTGGTCCATAAAACCCGCTCACATTTCCGATACCCAAGGCATCAGGTTGTTCAGATGTGACAGGTAGAATAACTGGGGGTCCGCTGTCATAGTATTCACTGCCAGGTGCAGGAGCCGCATCAGATGAGGAACTTGTCTTATCAGTCGATGTTGTAAATATTGTGGTATCGGAGGCTGGAGGGATAGTGGTGTAGCTGTGTTCGACAATGACTGCTGTTGGGTTTGAACCCGGTTCTTCTCTTGTTTGGACTACAAGTGCGCATGTTATGGAGATGGAGAGGAATGACAACAGTACAGCCCTCCAAATCATCGGATGTATTGCAAAAGACTAAGGATTCGGGGCTATCCTTGATGAAAGTCACCTCAACCTGTTGTTATTTCAACTTTCGAAAAGTGCGATCGGGGCCGTAATATAGGAAATTGATTTCTAGCCTCAGCCCGGATGCCTCGTATAATCGGGCTGTGTGATGGGCATGTCAGCAGCCTTCAGCCACTGGCGCTGTGGCGTCGACAATTATCAACAAATGTCTCTCTGCAAAAATATTATCTGTCGTATGATAATAGGAGGTTGACAAAAGTTGCTGTACCCCGCAAGTCCAAGCGACGTGCATATATTCAAAAAAATGTCCCGTTGCTTGGCAGGTAAAGCACCTCAACTTTTGATTTTCTCCCTATAACCCCCATCTTCAGTCATGGGTAATGAGACCCTTCAACAGTTCGCCGCTCTTGATCTCGACTACTTGATTATAGGTGGAGGTACCGCAGGTCTAGCTATTGCTGCACGCCTCACCGAGGATCCCGAATTTCGCGTGGGAGTCATCGAAGCCGGCCCATCGGTCTTAGACATAGATGATAATGGTGCGATCAATGTTCCTGGTCGGTATGGCGAAACCATCGGGTCGAAATACGATTGGAAATTCAAAACTACCCCACAACCGGGTCTAGGAGGAAGATCACTACCATGGCCACGAGGTCGTATATTAGGCGGCACGAGTGCGCTTAATCTTATGGCCTGGAATCGGGGTCATCGAAAAGACTATGATGCTTGGGCGGAACTGGGGAATGAGAAATGGGGATGGGAAGATCTACTGTATGAGCGACCAGCTTTCTAAGATTCGGGCTTCAACTTGAATTTCACCTGCTGATCTGTGAGATACTGATTTCTGTGCAGGCCTTTTTTCCGTCGCAGCGAGAATTTCCATCCACCGAGTGTCGCTCATCAGAAACATTATCACTCTTCCTATGATCCCCAGGCTAATGGAACGAAAGGCCCTATACATACAACTCATGCCAAGCAGTATGGCCCCACACACCAATATTGGCACGAGGCGCTCAATAGTCTGGGGGTTCCATCTACGCGCGATAGTCTGGCTGGCGATAATACAGGAGTTTGGAACATGCTCTGCACAATTGATCCAGATACTCAGGAGCGCAGCTACTCTGCCTCGGCATACTATCACCCCATTGCGAAACGTCCAAACTTGCATATACTGACTGAAGCAACTGCCATGGAGATCTTGTTTGAATCTGAAGATGATGATTGGTACGCAGTAGGGGCTCGAGTACGCTGGAACGGACTGGAAGCAAATATCAAAGCATACGAAGAGACAATCATCTGTGCCGGTAGCGTGCAATCACCACAACTTCTGGAGTTATCCGGTATTGGCAACCAGGATGTGTTGGAAGCTGCTGGGATTGAGACGAAAGTTCACAGCCCAAATGTAGGAGAGAATCTACAGGAACATATGAGTATGAAACATAAGCAATGCTCTTTCTGATCTTGGCTGATATTTACAAGTGACTGCCACCATCTTCGAAATACCCTCCACGATTCCAACCCGTGATGACATTCTCAAAGATCCAATTCAGCGCGAAGCTGCGGACTGCGCCTATTACGCTTCTCAGACCGGGCCTTGGACTGTGATGCCCTGTTCAGTGGCGTACTGTCCGCTATCGAAGATCCTATCGCCTGAGGAATGCGATGAACTACACACCCAGGCTAAGGAAGTTGCGCGAGGTACAGGACGTACACATGACGCTATTTTAGCCAGCCAATTCGAGTCTGGTGAAGCGCGCGGTCAAATCGAGTATCTCTTCGATCTGGGTAACTGGAGCCCATATTTTGTCTCTGAGCCCGGAAAGAAATACGCCACAATGCTGCAAATGCTGCAGTACCCTTTCTCGCGCGGGTCTATTCATATACCCCCTATGAGCGACAACAATTATGAAAAGGCCACCATTGATGACAAACCCGTGATTGATCCGCGTTATTTTCTAGGACCTGGGGAGATTGATAAGAAGGTCATGGCCAAAGCGCTCAGATGGGGAGATCAAATCTGTCAAACCGAGCCTTTGGCCAAACTCATTCGCGGTCGAGTATTTCCTCCTCCTGCTAAGGCGGGAGACTCCGAGGAGAAAGTCTTCGAAGAGTTTGTGTCAAATTATACTGTCACCGACTGGCACCGTATGTTCTCCCTTCAAGATTCATTCAGCAAATCACTAAATATACCTACAGCAGTTGGAACCTGCGCTATGGGTGAAGCAGACGGGATCAATGGTGGAGTTGTGAATGATATGCTACAGGTACATGGTGTCCATGCTTTGCGGGTTGTAGATGCTAGCATCATGCCATTGCAGGTTGGGGCACACATCCAAGCTACCGTATATGCGATTGCCGAAAAGGCGGCGGAGATGATCATAGAGGACTATTTTGCTCGAAATGGTCCTCTATAAGCCTCTTGAGGCTTGCGTCCAATGATAATATTCCATCTAAATGGCCTTGAGTCAATATCTTGTTCAGTACTCGCGCACTAAGGCCGACTGGCACAACAGCATATCTACCCATTCATATTTTCCAAGTTGTCAATGTTACACACATCTCGAGCTCAGATTCTGCAAATCTATACTTATTTCTCTAATAACCTTACATTTCATCTTTGGCTAGCTTCGCACCACAGCGTTCTATGTCCCACACGAAGACTTCGGGCAAGCGCCCTCCTTCTGGCGATGAAATCCCCCCCATGCAGTATCCCTATATGCCCCATATTGCTAACAGCAGCAAAATCTAGGAGTTTCGGAATATCGTATCAGACTGAGTGGAGCATCTTTTTATTGGACTACTCCACACTCCAGCATCCATGTCTGTGAAACACGGCCTGCGCACACAAGCAATCTTGGCGATGTCTCCTAGACGAGGATGACCTGAGGAATTTCCGAATTTAGCAACACAAAGACATATGTACCGGATAATGCCTGGCACTCGAGACCTTTCCCTTTCCGTTTTAGTGCTCACCTCTTGCCGCTTTTTGATCACTGAGTAAAACTGAGCACGTCCCTGAGTATTCTGACTTGATCACGGGCCATTACATAATCAACGTGATCTGCTCACTGAGCATCACCTGATCATCCCTGAGCACCCTGATCCACTCACTGATCATCATTTGAGCACTCTGATTTGCTCACTGAGTGCTCACTGAGTGTAGGGGATGAGCGGCCTGAGTAAGCTACATCAATAAAATGCGACACGCTAATCCCATCACGTGCAACCCTTCCCATTTAGATCGCCCATCAAAAAAAGACTGGCGCAGTCAACGTAACCGTTCGGTCTAGCGGTCTCGATCCTATCCAAGTAAAAAAACTCACAGCGGGGCTGTTCAATTGACCTATCATTTTCCATTTCAGCCTATGCTCCTAGGAATTCCCTAATCGGGCTTTAGATTACTACTAGGGCGAGGGCGATTGGATGGGTTTCCTTGAAGATATAGAACCCTTCTCTGTATCAAGGCAACTGGAGGAATCAGTGTTCAGCAGGTGATGATGATGAACCACTTCTCTCGCCAATGAGCGCACAGGCCGAAGGCTTTCCTGAGCGTATAACGTCATGTCTTTCGCGCCATTGCTAAGTAATCTGTAAGCCGAAGACAAACAATCAAAAGTAATACCCCGATGGGCTCCTGGGAGCCTACGGGGCGTTCCTAGGAGCCTACTAAGGGCCCATAGCTATTTCGTTCGAATCCTAGGAACTCTAAACATCGCCCTCTCCCCCTTAGCATGCCTGCCTAAAGTGATGACATTTCAAAGGGATATATATTTAGTCACTTGCTCCAAAAAGAATGGCCTTCATCATTCCTCTGCCTCCAAACTACTTTGCCAAACAAAAAGACTTCTTTTGAATATACCACAGTGAGTTCAGCCTTCATTCACGCGTTGTTCCGCATCAACTAACCGTACTCCAGATTGGCATTTCTTTCGTTCACGACTTTCGAACCAATCAACATTGCTGGGCCCACTGCCCACACAAAAGCTCGCAGCGGAGCATCTGTGCCCTTTGGAAAACCTCAAAGCTACCAAAAGTACAAGTCGCATTTACCAGGAGGGCGCCGTTTCCGGCAACCCCCCACGTTGGGTTTAGCGCCCGTCCCGTGCCGTCCTGTTCTGGTTTAGCGTCGCCCCATCGGGTATGGTGTCTCGCGCTATCCCCCAACGGGAACTGCCGCCATTCCCCGCCCTCGGAGGCCCTCGTCAACTATATAGTCTGGACGGTGCGTCGCTCGACCACCTCTCTCTCCTTTCCCACGGCCGTACGTTCTCCTCAGCTCGCGAGCACGGACGCCACTGCTCCGGCCCCCTGCATTTCGGAAATGACCGTTCCCACAAGGAGTACTTCGCCCCCTTCGCTCCCCACTCGTGTCACTGCGAAGTCGCTGGCATCCACCGACTGATTCGACTTCCGCCGCGTGAGACGCTGATCTTTCCTACATGGAGGCATGCGACATGGCTTGCGAGATGTCCTCGTCTGCCTAATCTGGCCGCCCCCAAATGGTCTCCTGGCCATTGGGAGTTGCCTATTTCAGCCCAGTTCAAACCTCTTACAGCAATCTTTCCTATTTGGGGAACCGCATACAGCCCGTGTTTCATTTCCGGGGCAGGACTATGACCTTTCCATAGGCATGTGGTGCCGTCATCTGCTCGGCGCAGCGTAACCACCAATGACAAAAATGCCTCTTGCGTTCCGGGGTTCCTATCATCCGGTGTGGGCCCGGAGGCGCTCCGTTGATTCCCAACAGAGGATCACTTGTGAGAAGGCTCGAGCGAGCTACGTGATGATCCATCGAACTGACCGCGGAATTATCCGAATGGTGGGACAATTGTTGGGTCACATTCGTAACTGTAACCGGACGATGCATCGCTTGCAAGGGACTGCGCTGATCCAGGAACCGAGATATTGCGGATTACGACTCTGCGAGACTGACGTGGCCAATCTAGGGAATTGGTCTACGAAGGCGCATGTCCGAACAGTCCGATGAAGCTGCGGAGAATCGGTATGCTTGTGCATTGGCCATGGTCTCTGAGCAAGGCAGATTCCGACAATGCAACTATCTCTTTGCTTGTGGGTCTAATTTCTTGTGGATCCCTAATGTAGCTCAGGAGACACGCTATAAATCTCGTAGGCCTTGACTGAGGATGCTGGCATGTGCAATCTCCGTGTGGCGATACGACGATGCAGCGGAGCTACTTGGCATTGTTTTGAGAAGTGATCTCAGATACTTTATAAGCCGTCCACCCTCCTTTTCCATTTTGCTGATAACTTTTCATTTGCCGTCGGTTGATTTGGCCGCCATGCATATCAGTCTTGACAACATTAGCTTCTACTCTCGCCCTCCTACAAAGTCCTCCTCGCCTGCGTTCCCTGCTTCCTGTTGGAGGGCCTATGATGCCTCTATGACTCCTCAACCACTTCCCCGTGCCCTCCCGCCGAGACCGTATTTCCAAGAAACGACCTTCAGCTCAGCACCTGGCGCCAGCACTGATGTCTCTCTGCAATCCCGAGATGCCGTGAAGGAAATTTTGGATTCACGTGCAGGCAGTGAATTTAATATCGAAATAGAGAGAGCTATGACGCAAAACAGCCAGGAAACGCACGAGACAGACTTAGACCTGCACCTCGATTTAGGGCTGCGAAACGAATGTAACACAGACGTGCCTGAAAGCGATCACACATATTTAATAACTGGTATGTCGGAATCATTGCTGAACCACCGCGATAAGCGAGCGTAGCTAATATCATCCACCAGATCATTCAGATCTATGCCCTTTGGGAGAGTCTCATGGTGACTTAGATACGGCTTTGATCCCGGCAAAACCTCAGTTGCATCATGCAGGTAGGCGCGACTATTCTCTTTCTGTCCGACTTATCTCGCTAACTCATGCAAGACCCGCCCATTGCCTCAGCCGTTGCCCCTGCCGACCTGCTAAGATGGCGCCGAGATAATATATCCTCGCTAGGAATTTATGATGACTGACAAGAGCCCTGCTCCGCCCAAAGCCAGCTTGACTTGCCTGCGTGTCTTGCCATCACCTCCGACAGATGTACCAGCACAGCCTAGCATTGAAACCATTATCCAAGATGAATGCGTCGTAGATGACACCACGTCCGGGTTTAAAAACCACGGAGATCAAACGGGTGTTACAAGGGATGGGGTGACAACACAAATTGTCCAGGTCAATGAACCCTCAATCAGCGAGGCTATCTCGGATAATGATCTAAGAGGCAGACTCACCGAGAGTCAAGCGCGTGACTTCTCCCGTCTTGGACCCCAAACTCGCTCTGTCAACCAATCGCAAGCCACACTGGCAAACTCTCCATCCTTTCGTCCGCGACGAAAGGCAAGATCTGCCCGGCGAGAGCAATTTCCTGCGGTTTCCGTTGTCATCCCTGTCCGTCGAAACGATAAAGTGGTTACAAGGGCCAAGAAGAACTCTCTAAGAAGAATACGACGGTGTAGTCGCTCGAGCGACAGCGAGAACGACAGTGACAGCCTCGACAAAGATCGAGTAACACAGACGTCGATGAGCAATTACTCACTATCGTCAGGTGAACCTGGTTCCAAGGCAAGGGGGCGCCCACTTAAAACGTCGAAGAGAGCAAAGGGAAACGTCTTAGCCCCGAGCAATGATATCGTCGGGAAATGTCCTAATCAGTCCCAAACCCCCTCAGGGGGTGGTTTGGCTGTCTCATTGGATCAAACACAAGAGATTTTCGGTCGCGGAGTTCTCCGTATCGAAACTCACGGTCCTCGACAAGCCTACTTCATGACGTTCCTTCCAGAGGTTTCTCACCCCCCTCTATGCCGTCACCGTACCTGTAAGGATGGAGATGGGCGATCGACTAAGCTGCCACGACATTCGCCATCTCGTGATGGTTGCAACGAAGCCCAGCGAAAGCGCAGGAGGCGCTTGCGGTGGTTTCCAGAAGAGGTGGATTTTTTGGTGGAGTTAAGAAGAGATGAGCAACGACCATGGTCGGAGGTGACGAGCTTATTTTTGGACCGATATCCGGGAAGAAGTCCTGCTGCGATCCAAGTATACTGGAGTACGCGCGGGCGTCGAGTAAGCAAGGCCAAGAGCACACCAACTACCGTCTAAAACAAGCATATGCTTCAACCGTCTCCCAGTCAGTACATACCGCTAGAAATTTTAGCTGAGGACGATTCGGATAGCAGTTTAGCCGAAAGCTACCATGATTTCATTTCACGATATTGAGTAGACATACGTCATTTCCTGTGAGAATACCTCTGCCGTGAGCCGTGGTCAGCTGACGTAAGCCTGATGGATCGTCCGGTGGTTGGGACTTGCCGCGATTGTCTCCGGCCATTGCTTCCCTTTTCTAACCAAGTTGATGGCCGCCAACAGCTCTCCAGATTACAAATCCCTTTATCTACAGGAACAGGAGAGGCGGAAGCCGGCAGAAGAATGCACCCGGCCCACCACTTTCGTGGAGTTCCTGTGCCATTCTCACAACCTGCTCTCTCGACCGTTGAGAGCCGACACACCATCTCGTTCGACCACCGGGATCGCTAATTTAACAGGTAGAAAATAAATTTTCTTATCACGAAACCCGAAGATGCTTTGTATCTCCTGCCTCCACTCGACATAGTCCTCGTTTTGCGGCCCTCGGTTGCTGCTTAGCCGGTCGGCATCTCAGAGTAGAACGGTGAAAGTCGATGATTAGAGCACGCCCGAGCTCTTCACTCCAAAGGACATTGTCTCGCCTGAGATCTTCATGTAGTATCCCGAGAGCTTTTATTTCCTTATTCGATTTCTGAATCTCGCGGCGAAGCCGTTGCGTCAGCTCCATCGTGGCCGTGCACTTACCGCCCCAGCCCATTACGAGCATATGGCGGATCTGTCCAGCACCATGTAGAAAGTAGATTTTTGCTAAGTCAATTGTCCCCAAAAAGACAGGGACAGCAGATCCTTGAGCCTTGCGCAGGATCTGATATACCTGCGCTTCGCGTGAGACTTCTTTCCACAACCGCGAAGTGGTGCCTTTACCGATAACCGTGTAACTGTATTTTGTGCAAGTCAATTTGAACGGGGCTCCGTAGGAGCCACAACCGCCAAGAGGAATGCAACGATCGATATTTTCGTCCAATTGGCCCTTGAGTGAAAGTATTGAATCTTTAGTCGAGATGGGATGCTGAGTCGGGTCGTCTTGGCCCCGGCGGTGATAGTCCACGTTTGGACACAGCTCATCCAGGGATTTCCTAGTCTGTAGGCCGAGTAAACATCGCTGTGTGCAAAATTGTGCAGCGTGGCGTCGGGAATGATCTTCGTAATCATGCACTGACTCTTGCTGGCGACCTGATCGTCGAGCGGACGGTGAAGGCGTGACTTGACTGATCCTCCGCTTATGGCCAGATGTTTGATTTGTGTCGGACCCGGACGAGTTAGGTGACCGCAAGCGCGGTCGGATCTCCGAAGGTGCACAGCTTGTTTGAGAGCGTGTAGGCACTCGACGGCCCTCTGAAGGTGACGGCAGCGGAGATGACGACGGTAATTCATAGGACGAACCAGACCCTGGGCTCGGGAACTCAGGGTTAGTGCTGTCGGAGTGAGGAATCTGCTGTAATTCATTTCTCGGGATCTGCGAACGAGTATGTTCAAAGCTTGTTCCCCACGTATGAAGATCGGGACACAAGCGATTTCTCCACTCTTGCCCACGTGTGGGTGAACGGAAGGCCATCAAACAAAGGCATAATACCCTCGCAACAGAGGTCTTCGACAGTTGATGAGTTGTATCGCCTGTTGGGTCCACTTCGTTGTGAGGATCACAAAAAAAGTAATATAGCGTGGTGGGTTCGTCTCGTGGAATACGAAGTAGTACACGAATGATTTCATTTGTCAGGTAGGAATATTCGAGTCCTTCATGAATCATCACGTGGTATTCTTGGACGATAGCAGAGCACACAAGCCGCTCTGCATTATACCTCAGCTTCGCATCCTGTTCGATGGGTATTTTGTTTGATCTGACCATTTTCTTCCACATATCCATTGGTCGTAGTCCCATACGAAGAGTTGCGACAGGCAGCTTGTGAGGCGGCTTATACTCGACGGTCGTCAACACTGTGGTCTTGTTGCCGTCGACACGATGAATGCAGAACTGGTCTGGTCGTGGGTGTGGTGTGCTTGACAGCTGGCTTGTATCCGCTTCAAAGGTTTCGTTCCTGCTCAAAGAATTTGCGTGATTGCTGAACTGGATTCCATCACCGAGGCCGAACTCGTCACATGCTGCTGGAAATTTGCATAACTCGGCTATTATATCATGGACGTGTTCTTCCACCCCAAACCGCTCATAGGCCTCGAGATCTTGCTCACTACTGAGGGGCTTGCGGGCAAATCGGCGGCCAAGTCCTTCTAGCTCCGGTAGAGACGAGAATAAGCGTGGCGCCTGCCCTAGCTCCGACTGTAGATATTGGCAGACAGAACTGTAGACCTTATAGCAGCTGCTCTGGGCAGTCGGCCCAATGTTCCAATCGAGTTGGGCAGTATTTTCCAGTGGGAAGGGGTATTTTTCCAGTGGTTGAGTGAGATGGTGTCTCGACTCGCAACTGGCGGGAGAGAAGGTCATGGCAGTTCTGTAAGAGCTCTGTGAAGGAGGTCTGTTGGTTGCGTTCTTCTGCTTGTCGCCTCCTTTCTGCTTCCTGCTTCCGTCCTTCTTCTGCCCTAAGGTAAAGATCTTTGTAATTTGGAGAGCTTTGGTCGGCCATCGATTTGTTGGAAGGGGTAAGTCATGCTTTAACGCAAGTGCGTCAGAGCCGGGCTGACGATCTGGTCAGATCAGCTTTCTGCCAGCAGATCCCGGGGTTCGGAAAATACTTTGTTCCGGAAAATGACTCAGGTCTCACATCCAGGTGCACATACTAGCCCAAAGCGGTTAGCGCTTGTCTTTACACTAGTCAGAGTTGCCCACCGTCCTTCCCGAGTCAGATTCTATACAGTAACGCCGCAGAATCCCTGCCACTGTTCTCGAAGTACTGATCTATGTGTCACGTATGTAGAATCATGCTCTTATTCCTAGAGGCTAAAGTGGTCTGGGATCAGTGCTCAAAGCTCATAAGAGGGTAAAGAGACAAACCTGCATAGTTATCCCTCGCCAAGAATAGGCTCGCTCTGTGGGCGATACAAAAATTGATAGGAACGGCAACGGTAAGTTAATTTGTTTAGGCATTGCCAGAAGACCCGACGCCGGGTTGAGGTATTAATAAGCAAAGGGCTTGCGTGATCGTGGTAGCCTTTGATTGAGTTCCTGGGTTTGGGTGGGCGTTGATGGCAAATATGATGGGCACGATCAAGCTTCCCAGCAGAAAAAGAGAAGTATGAATGATTCTTCAGATCAAAAAATGACTTTTTTCACCATCAATCGAAACTTGTTGGAACACCCTCAGGTTAAAGCAACCGCACTGTACGCCTCATTTTTAATGCCCCTGCGTAAATGACTCAAATTTCTGCATAAACTAACTTAATGTATCCAAAAAAAAAGGAGGAGATACAAAAGAACTTGGTTCAACACAAAGCATCAACAAGTTCTCGCAGGGTTGCCCTTGGTTGCTCCCAATAGTGTGGAGAATCCAGCGATTGGCACTTGGCATACCAATGGTCTCCTCCGTCCCGCAAAAGTCCAGTCATAAGATATTTGCCTTCGACGACCCGCCCTCTTATAAGGTTGGCAATTCCCTGCGCCTTGACAAGCTGCCCTAGTTGTAGGACAAGCCTGGTTAACGTCCCCTCCTCTGAAATGGAAAACTCCTCATTTCGAAGCCAGCCCCTCATGATGACAGACATTTCTGAGAATATAGACTTAGAGTATCCACCGATGATCCATAGGCCCGCGTAGATCTCAGCAAGCCTAAGTTTGTCTCCACCTCGATCAAGTGCATAAAGGCGTGCACAATCGCTTTGTACACTCCTCGAAATGAGTTTGTAAGAACATCCTCCTATCAGAGCCTGCCTGTTCGTGCGCATTATTACCAAGTCTATCACAGGTTAGTCTCCAGCTCTAGCTTAACAATGTCATGACACTCTTCTTACCAATGGGCACTCGGTATAGACCCGGCCTGATCGAGCATATTTCTTCTTTCTTCGACTTCCGGGAAATAAAAAAAATGCGTTCAAATAGCGCCCAAATGTGGTTGCACTTCTCAGATGTCTGGAGGGCCTCATATACCCGATCAAGTGTAAAATGCGTGACAACGCTGCTTCCGGCGCACGCTTCCCATAATTCTTCGTTGACAGGCTCAAATGAGGGCGATTTGTCTGCATCGTGTTTTATGACAAAGTCTGTGAGTTATCAGCTAATATAGCCTAACCCAACAGGTAAGTTTTTTCTGACCATCTGGAGCGTCATAAATTCCCGTTCTTATTTTTCTAAATTTTTGCAAGAATTCACCAGGATCTGGGGGTCCTTGAGTTAGCTTTATAACAATGCCGTGGTTGGAGAGCGTACCATGAAGAGCGAGGTCCATTTTTGTTGGTCTGACGCTTGCCTTTCTTAAGGACATTGCTGGGTGAGGTCTTTGGTTTTATATGCTGACAAAAGTTTTAGAAGTTCGAATGAGCTGATGTATTTGGCTTGCTAGGATCGGATCATATCGAAAAAGATTGAGCTTGCTCAAGGCTAAAAGGCTCGTGCTAAAACACGACGCCATTATTTTCGGACGGATACCCTACTGATCGCCTACCGGCACCGATCTTGGTATTGCCAAAATATATTCCCTCCAGTCTGAGAGTATCAATTATAATGTCATTTTTTTAATGGTTTGATTCATTTCTAGTGTTTACCAAGTTATGTTGAAGGATCAATGATCTACAGAGTGATTTTAACGATGTCCCACTGGGCTAGAGAACTTGCCGAACGCCAGCAATGATTCATTGCCCTTCGGTCCACTCAAACCCGGAGAACAAGCATACAATTCAAAGATCTCGGCCCTTAACTAATGTTTGACACATGATCACAGCCAGCTTTTTGTTTTTCCAATGTGTAGTTGACCATTCAGGCGATCTATGTTCCTCTTTCGCGCAAATAAACCTTGCCTTCGACAAATACAACGTCGGGAAGCTCAATAATTTCACAATCCATTTTGTCGTCGGGTTTCATGTAGATGGATTGGGGTCGGTTTGCTGAAAATTGGAGTGTGAGAAGGCAATATAAAAAGGCTCACACCTCGTCGGAAAACTTACGAAGTGGAGTCCGTGACCATGCCGCTCTCTCTGTTTGATTTGGAATGCATGCTGGTAGAGGCTTTGTGACGTTATATGCAACCTCGGTATATAGAAGCGCATATACCGCTGGTTCCGTTCCCGTATCCGGACTGGAAACATTGGGGACAGTTTGATCTAGGCGTTCTCTACTTTGCTCTCCTTGTGATATCCAGAGGGATTGTATCCAGTTCGGAAGAAGAGACCAGAGCGATGCAGAAGAAAGGCAGTGCATAAGGTCGAATAGTGTAGATTAATATGTAGTAGAAGCATCAATAGAGATGAACGGCCTCAAATATCAGCTGTGTGTCTTGGTCCAAGTCTAGCAGGTTATGAAGGTGCCTATTAATACTGTCCAAGGCGCCATTGATCGCACCTTATCATTGAACCAAAGATCTAGTCATGGTCAGTACCCGCATCCTCAGCTGGTGAAGATGATATGCTCACACTAGAAGTCCACGCCGATTCCTGTCCAGTTTCTGTACGGGCCCGCAGAAATTTCTTTGAAGACAATGCTCTTTTTAGGAATTGAATCTCCATCCCTCGGGGAATGGATGCCCTGGGAAAATCCCAGCCAAGATGCTAGAATACTGCTAGATGCCTGCAAGACTTTGAGAAGCAGAAGATCCCAGGAACCATGTGATGATACAAACTTTCTCGGAAATGACTTACACGTCTACGTGAGGAATATTATACACGTACTCGGTTATGATACTGTTTTGATGCTAGCGCTGATGACTTGGCATTTTGATGCTTCATCTCCGGAAGCATCACAGGGCTTGATTACTTTCTTGAGACGGCCTCACTCTAGTATCGTGAGGAGAATACTGCAAGATCGATACCAAAGCATTGGGTGTGAAACGGCCCCTTCAAACTTTGACTTTTTGCTTTTCTTAAATTAAGGCCAATCAAGTGATCAGTGCAGGTGCGAAACATGAGTTGAATTATATGGTCTTTAGTCAAATGTATCCGAGTTGTTCTAGGCGCCTCGTAATGTCTCGGAGACAGTCATCATACCAGTCCTTCAAAGACCTGTGTATCTCGTATCCCAAACATTCTGCCAAGTCTCGCCTTCTTTCATACTCCTGCTGGTATTTTGAGTGTATGCGCTGGTAACAGAGAGATTTCTTCGAGTTAGGGTCCGTTACCGATTGTTGCAAGACAATCGGGTCATCGCTGCTCAAGGGAACGAATTTTATAATCCCATATTCCCTTCGAACCCTTATTATACCAGCCTCGAGCACCGCAAGGTCCACTAGGAATGATTCATTCGTGCTGCCATGGTCATCCTGGGCTTGATGCTGCTCGCCAAGCTCTTGAAGAGCAATGGCATCAAAAACCACATCATTGAGACCCCTTTTTTTGAAGTCTTCCATAGGTGTGAGTCCATTGGGATGAAACCAAATTCGTACGGTCTTGTTTGGTTAGAGCTTGTGTTAATGTGGAGAAAGGTAACTTACATGTAAACGGATCGGTACTGAGTTTTTGGCCGAAAGACTAAAGTCTGAAGGGGGAGAACAGAACGGCTGTTCTTCCGACACCATAGGCATGGCGGCTTTCACAGGTTCATGCATACTACTTCGATTTGGGTCTGGGCCCCCGAATAGCATTGTCTCGCACGAGCTGTTTGGGGAGGGGAAGAGGCGGGAAATGCAGTTTAAAACCACACAACAAACTCTCTGTAGGCTCAGGCAGATCATAGCTCGCTGCCGGAATTAGCGATGGGCCAGAGAAACAGAGGCCTCTTTTATGTCATGATACACAGAGAAGAATCGGCATCTCTTGTTTAGGTGTTGCTGTGCCAAAATCGCATTCAAGTCGCTAAGCGGGAGAGAACTGATAACCCCACCCTGTCCAACCACGTCCTCTACCAGAGTGAAAAAAGAACTTATCTCTTAGTGAGCAACAGCAACAGCTTAGCTGCAGTCAATGGGCCAAGATTTCGAAATTCGTATTGTCCAACAGAATGCAGCCAGGCAACCTCTCGAGACGACTCAGCCTCTCAGCTGAGGGGTAAGGGCCCACATGCAGGAGATCTCCTTACTAGTGCGCCCGAAATATGACTTGGGGCGCACTAGTAGGGATCCCATACGCACATACTCGCTGCATCTGAGAGTTCGTGAGCGGTGAACAATGCCCACCGTTTCGGTCTTGATCGCTTTTCTCAGCCGTGACATTCTCCATTTTTCAACTTCTGCCCCATAATGATCAACATATCTGCGATTGTTGAGGCGTTTCAAATTTTGTCGAGACTGGATGCAATTAGCACCCAAGAGCTTATACCATATCGAACCACATTGGAACAAACCTTGCGAATTATAGAGAAAACACTAGACACTATTCCGAGCGAGGCTCCACGGTCGGAAACCAGACTCCAACAATCTTCCCAGCAGCCTACACCAACAACTTCCATTACTTTTTCGGAAACACCTGCTAGCAGTGGGACGTCCTGCGCTACCAAATCGTCAGTGGAAGAGACCGGTGAAAGCAATGACACGACCGAGGAATCATTAGAAGCCTCGGATGCTCAAAGGCTTATGGATGCGCTTCACGGTGCCCGTCGATCTGAAAAGGTTTTCAAGTATTTATCGTCTCATCGCGATCCGCTTGCGCAGAACGGTGATGATTGGGTCCAAGAGGACCCTCGCGTGGTCGATATCCGACTTTGTAACCGAGGCTGCTCACTGGATGCGAGTTTTCGACGCGGACTTGGACAAAGGTCCCTCGCAATAGAGTTCGATGAATGGGAACGTGAAGTCTTCGGAACATCACGAGTGTCCATGCGTTCTCTATATCCAAAGAAAATTGACGATAACAGCGGGCTTATCAGCAGGTTCCTGGAGCAAAGAGTTATTCGATTTCAAAACAAAGAATCGGCATCTCATGGTATTAGAGACGGCATACGTTTGCTCGTTTTCGAACGGATATATGGTCACATTGGCGTTTCAGCCATTCTGATATTATTGTTCACTTTGTTTCGCGACGTCAAATATGGAAGTTTTGTGGCTCTGAAACGTCTGCTTGAGAAATCTGGTGCCTGGCATGATTTGGCAAAGGACAAATCTTCATGGTTGACGGCCTGTCAATTTCGATATGATGGTAAGTTTGTCGCACATCCATAAGAGCACATCTAATTTCGATGGTAGCAAGGCACACTATGTGGCGAAAGATTCAAAGAACATGGCAGTGCGAACTTAGCGGAAGTTTGCTCCATACAGTTCCAAGTCAACTCACAACATTGGGTGATCCACAAAATTATGAGCAAACGTGCGGTTATCTACTCAACTCGGGACCCACAATATCGAGCAATCGCTTCAATCTTCACCAGCCGGACTCATATTCACATGATAGACGACAGCCTCCTCTGATTGAACATAATACAATATCGACCATTCAAGCGCCACGGGAAAGGAGCGTTCCGCTGGCTATCTCTGAATTGATCAATCAGGATTCGGAGCCTCGACCTCTGACTCGCTCGAGGAATACCGAAACAGATATGAGCCCTGCCAGAAGTCACAGTACGGAAGCGGCTGCATATCTGACAAGACAGATACAACCAGTTTTTGAGCAGGAAAGTAGAGTCTTGGAACTTCCACCAAATTTCAATCAATGTGACTACGGGACAATCCCCTCAATCAGCCAGGATGAGACGGTGGATATGGATCTCTGCGCCCAGTTTGACCCTGGCCGCATCCCTCCAGTATTCAACCAATTTGACTACGGGACGATCCCCTCGGTCAGCCAGGATGAGGCGGTGGATATGGATCTCTGCACCCAGTTTGACCCTGGCCGCATCCCTCTAGCATTCAACCAATTTGACTACGGGACGATCCCCTCGGTCAGCCAGGATGAGACGGCGGATATGGATCTCTGCGCCCAGTTTGACCCTGGCCGCATCCCTCCAGTATTCAACCAATTTGACTACGGGACGATCCCCTCGGCCAGCCAGGATGAGACGGTGGATATGGATCTCTGCACCCAGTTTGACCCTGGCCGCATCCCTCCAGTATTCAACCAATTTGACTACGGGACGATCCCCTCGGCCAGCCAGGATGAGACGGTGGATATGAATTTCTGCGCCCGGTTTGATACTGGCCGCGCTCCAGTCTTCAATTCCGGCTATGGAACTATTTCATCGACTACCCAGAGCGAAGGCCAATCTGAGGGCCTCCGCAATTACGACAATAATTTTTCATATCGCGAACGCCCTATGCTTTCCGTGTTTTGAAATTGAAGAGCTAGATATGATCATAATATATATCGTTGTTGTACACATTGCAATCTGCTTTCTGAAAACTAACCATATCTAATTTTTTCCACTCCCGTCAAGTGTTACTATTAAGATGTCCGAGCCAGTGAGGCGGTCTGGCATGAGAACTCGATCGATGTCTGTAATGTCCCAGTATGAGCCCGGCAGTAAGGTTTCCGCAGGTGTCAAGTTTGATTTTCCTTGTATAGGCGCGAGCCACAGCCGTTTCGTGGGGTTCTCAAGCCTAGCGGCTAATGCGAAGTGAAAAACTGTGCAATCGAGTACCTAGATGAGGAATGTAAGATAAATAGTACAAAATCGCTGTGGCAAGATAATACAGACTTTATGACCCCGAGCTTCTATATCTGCTTTCATTGCGATGCACTCCTCCAAAAGTCGGTATTGCCAGCCTAATTCACTCTCTTTGACCCGTTCCATGCTTCCGCTCTGGATAAGACACCTCATATTCGACAATATCGTTTTCGCGCTTTCCCACAGAGGCTCGCCCGCCATTTCTTCGCAAAGCCCAAAATTTGACTGTAAGAAAGTCAGCTTGGTGGTTTCACCCGACTTGGTTTGATACTTACCGACTATAGAGAGAAATGCTTGGGGAAGCGAGGGGTCTTGTCGACATTGCGTCCGACGGAGGAATAGGCGGGGCTGTTACGGCCTAACGTCACATGACAGGGGCCCAAGTCGGAATAATAAGGCAGTAATAATGAAAAATCTTGAGGCATGTTGGTCCTCAGTTCATTGTACGGAGACGCACGCAAAATGGAAAGTGGTATTGTGGTTTTCTAACTTTGTTGTGTAGCAAAGGATGATACATTGGCGTGTCTAGAGAGGACGCATGATGAGTAGCAATTCTCATAGTCCTCATTTCCCCCATATCGTGCACACATTTTATGTACTGTAAACGCTAGCTTGTGTCCCAAGCACTTCCAAAGTCAGCTTGTTTCGGACCGCCGGATATATAGATATACTCCGCGGGCATGTAGAGAGAAAAAGGAAGACTACTTGAAAACACAATGTGAAATTGTTCACCTCGCTAGCATCTGTGTGAATCAGAGGACGAAAAATTTGGGACAATTTAGGACCTATGAGATAGGCAAAGATAACCATTGAATCGCTTCCTCATGCTAAGTCATTTTCAATTGCTATCGCCCTGGACTATGAAACCTCCGCCACGCCCGGAATCCTCAGTCAGTTGGAGATGTAGACTCTCTAACTCCTTTTGCATTGACTCCCGACTAGCATTTCCCTGAAGGCATTCAAAGTCGAGAAGTTTTACCCCCCCTTCCGCTACGAGAAAGTTGTATCGGTTCGCGTCCCCATGTAAAAATCCCAATTCGTGGAGTTTCCCCAGAGCTGCTTCACAGATATCCAGATCCTGAATGGAAGCAGGGCGTCCTTCTATTTTCTCTAATAGAAACCCCATGATGCGTCCATTTTCATGAATATGGCCGAGGAAGCGCGGCGTCAGCCCGGAATACTCCAGTAGCTGATATGCTCTTGTTTCTCGTTCGATACGAGGAATCTCCCATTCAAAACGAGCTATTTTAGCGATAACGGTCGCTGGCGTTTGGAAGATGGTTGGAAGAATCGGATGCAAGACTGCTTCGAATGCCGATGCCGTGAGCAGCTTGGTTCTCTCTAACTCTAGGCAATCAAATAGGGCGTGATGCCATTGACACTTGACGCCGGCTAGTGGTCGGTTCGAGATGGAAGTTCTCAAGTCGCCGCTAGTTTTGTCTCGCGAAATGTGGGCTACTGTCCATTCATCGTACCAAGGAAGACTCGGCAGGGACTGAATAGGGAATGAAAGCGTATCTCTGTCGAAGGTTTTGGGAGTTATGATGATATATTTGACTTGATTTCCGATTCGCAGTCGATATTCACTTTCAAAAGAATCTTCATCATCCACTTCCATGGAGAGGACAGCCGGATGCATTGGGCTCTCTGGATGTTGATGGGAAGACATATTTGTCAATGCCCCCCTCACTATGATCGAAAGCTGGGTTTATAATATATGCTTGAAATTACCATAACTGCCGCTGTGCTTGCTATTTTTCTATTTTCGGAAGAAGATAATAAGGTACTCTATTGTCTAAAGATCGACATCGTCAATTCATGGGATAGGAATGTCGAGCGGGGTTAGGAAGGCCAAGGAAGTCTAGACCCTGCCACCGTCTCAGCTCAGCGGCAAGGCCTCTACGCAATTTGCTCAATTAATTCAGCCATACCAGCGGTTGGCGCAACTTGTGCATGTAAATCAAGTCGAGAACTCAGGTGATCATATTTACAGAGTCTTCTGCAGTAGTGATTTTAGCTCCGCGGTTACCTGAAACACCAAACTCTACAAAGCCCACTCTTGGTGGATCTTTCATTGGTCCAGGGTTTTTTTTCCCTCCATATTTGGAGGAAATGAAGTTAAATTGACAACAAATGACGACCGTGAACCTCGTATGCAACACCTGTGGTACTTTCCTCGTCTTTACCTCAGCGTGCTAGAGCCGCCAGTTCCAAATGCTCCCGTGCTTTCTGAGCCAACAGGAACCGAGGCAATATTCGGCCTGGCAGATATAAAATGTTCGCCTGGGTCATCTTTCAAACAGTAACAGCATCGGATTTCAGTCAAGCTCTTCTTTTATTGCATCAGCAAGAAGCAAACGTTTAGAACGGCCCTCCACCCCCTTACGAGTTTCTCGATAGTGCAAGTGAAGCTCTATTCTATGCACTAGTCGCTTCTACCAATTATCAGCAAACGTACAAGTCGTTTGACAGCAGAAAATCGTAAGGAGAAGACTATTCCTCATATCTAAGCCCCAATTAACTTCGGATACCTTAACAGGTCAAAATGTGCGATTCAAAGTATATCCAATATACGTGTGGCTGCAGGAAGGAGTGGGAGTTCGTCCAGTGTGAGGACCGCAAGGGAACAAACGTCAAATGCAGTCCAGTCAGAAAGGTATTTGGCAAAAACTCGAGCAACTACTGTTCAAGGCACCTGGTCAAGCCAGACGCAGAGGTGAAATTCATGGATCAAATGGGACAAATCATGGAGGAATAAAGTACAGTATTGTACGTTGGATGGCTGGAATATGTCCGCTTTCTAGGCTCTCCTTTGTCAATTCTAGGTAGTGTGGCTGCAATATACTAGTAAATTGGCTCTATATGAAGGTCATTCTCTTCTTCGAAAGTAGCCTCCTGTCCGAGCAGACACAGGTAGCTCGGGTGGCCGGTTTTTACCCTCGCCACTCGATCTCCACAGGAGCTGTGCCTGTTCACACCACTGAAAATGCTCCAAAAAGCTGTCTTGCGCATACACTTTGTCTCGAGCCTCATATCCCCATTTCGTGCCCCTAGTGCCGATAATACCTTTTTCAATACCAAGTTGACACCCAGCACACGAAATCCCGCGTTCCACTCTGCAAGTCTGTTTGTCGTAATAAGGAAGTGCACACGACCCCATGAAGTTGATTTTTTGATTTCGGTTTGAGCCCGCTGGTTGGGCTTGCGGTTGCCGTCTGCAAGCCAAAGTGGCCTGATAGATAGAAACGATCGTAATGCGGGAATTTTGTACAGATTCATTCATCGAGTATATTCCAGGCAAGGCCTTGAATGATCTCAGTTGGTCTAATTCGGCTTTGGTCATGTGAAATTGCTTTCGGACTGAGGCGAGAGTCCGCACTTGGGTTTCCGAAGACCACTGGAGGCAATTAAAACAGCACCTCTTCCAAATTAGGAGGGATATAAACCCGCCGAATTCGCCGCAAAAATTGCATGCTTTAGTACATAATGCGTTGTAAAAGTCGAGTAGAGAGATGTGGATGGCAAGTCGTGTTCGTAACAAAGCACAGAAGAGGTTCAGTCCATAAGAGACTATCCTCTGATACTGCTGGAGAGAATCTACCATTTGTCTTGATCGGAGGTTTATTTGTCGAAATTTGAACAGAGAATGCATGTCCAGACGGTACAATGTGTCAAATAAGAGCTCGAGGGGTAGCCGGTCGAGGGAGCCGACTCCAACATTTGATGTCCGCTGAAAGGGTGTTGCTATTGACGGGCGAATATCAAGGTGTTCACGGGGCGAGAACCAGATGACGGATAGACAGTAGTCTCTGCGGTGGTAGGCGGTGGTTCGAACAATAGCTTCGGCTTCTTCTTCGTCGAAACAGTGTTCGGTGGCGGAACGATATCCGCGGGGCAAAAGGGTAGTCATTCTGGAGGTTTGTCCGGTACGGGGTACGGGGTGGAAGGGGTAAATCTCGACAAGACTCGCGACTCTCCAGTGTACCTCCCTGAACACTTCTTGGAGGCTGGTATTGTCGTATAAAAGACACGACTGGATCACGGACCTGGGTGGCTAGAATTCATTGCACGGGGATTTCAATCGCGTTAAGGGGGGTTTTATTGTTGATAGGAGCTCTTCGCGGACTGATATACTTTTTCCTCATGACAACATGGGTTTTGTACCCGCTTAGGTAATCCCCATCTGGACCAGCAAGTTAACTGTCGATTCTGGCAGGATAAATCACAGTGAGCTGTGATTTGACTAGTGGCATAAGCCTCGCAACGTTTGGGAAGCATCCGAGACCTTACCGCTCACTAGTTCTTACAATCTCCCACCCAGCACTTCGAAGGCTTTCACGTTAAGTGAATCGTAGAATATATTTTCACTTTATTCTGACTAGGATGACCGGGAAACGAAAATCGTATCTTGGAAGACAAGCAAAGAGAAGAAATGGGATTATATTGAAACATGTACTTTAGCGGCTGTTAATTTATTATTGACCAACAAAGCACCAGGACCCTTAAGCATTTACGTAGGTAATGCTACGCCAAAATGACTCAGCAGAAGAGGGAACTACAGAGTTCGCGAGTGGGTTAGAAAGTCAGCATGCGATTTGCAGGGTTGGCCTTCCATTCGTTTAGGCTCGCGAGAGCCTCTTCAGTGACCGCTTCAGTACTATAAGGTCGCCACGCCTTAAGCGCAATAGATTCTATAGCGGGGGATTCCCCCACTTTTGGACGTCTTGTAGTGAGAACTTGTCGGAAAACTTGCCTGTGATAAGCAAATGGACCACGGCCTCATCAAGGGCGGGATAGGGCTTTGCGCCAGGAGGGTTCCCATGCAGAACGTATGCAATCATAGCATCCAGCGGGAAACGGAAATTGTTTCTACATACCTGTCAGTTGAGGGGAAATGACTGTACTGAAAGAATTCTCACATTTTTTTGCCTGCTTCTTTGCTGCACCGGATAAGAAAGCTGGGGCCGAAGTAGTACACACACCACCACCAATACTCACCGATTTTCTTTTCATTGTGGAAAGATTTGTGGAGTTTTCTTTTCTCGACTGGTGTCAGGCCTCTCGAATTGCAAAGCGTGCTGACGACATTTCTTTTCAGAGCTGTCTCTGCTGTGCCCCGTTGACGTTCACACTCGATTTCTCTGACAAAAAACAGAAACAGAGAACATCGAGCAACACGTAGCTTTACATCATGCATGTCATTCTCATTGTGCAGGCGCATTAAATAGGTCATAAGACTGGCACGATTGGGATTTTGAGCGGCATTCAAGGAGCTTGAGTCATTCCAGGAAGGGCCGCTCCAGAATCCAGAGACCTTCCAGGTACAGGAGTACTTTTCTAAAAAGGCAGCGAGGTTGTGTGAATAAAGGCGTTCGCCGGTGCGCTGGACTTCCGTCAGCTGTTGCAAAGTCAGTCGGGAATATACCGGTTTCAGAATATCAGGTTCATTCGGTTCACAATCTTCAACTGCTACACTTGGTTGCTCCGGCTCCTCTGGTTGCTCAGGCTCCTCTGGTTGCTCAGGCTCCTCTGGTTGCTCAGGGGCAAGGCGGGGCCTGAGGTTCCTGAAGGATTGGTCAGATTGAGATTCAACAGCAAGGGAAAGCTTCCGCTTGGAGCTTGCCTGCAGACACCCAATTGGCAAGGGCAAGTGAGACGCATCTGAAAGCTTTTTAGGCAGCGCAGACAGGCCATTATTATCAAGCGAAGGAGAAATAGATGTGGAAATGCCACCTTGGGGGTTCGAGGTAAAGTCGACCGGATTCTCGTCTTCACTCAAAAACCTTATAGAATCACCAATAGCCAAGTCAATATCCGATTCCCCAAAGCTTTCATTTGAAATTGAACAATCATCAGGGTCACTACCCCTTGCATTGCCAGGAGCATAGTCGGCTCGTTGCTGTGGTTCCAATGAGTATCGTTCGCTCGAATTGATGTCGTCAGAGCCAATTGGATTGACAGCAGCAATTTCGTCCTCATCGGGAGCATCTTCAACTGTCGGCTGGACTCTCGACAAGGATTGTTGGGGGCGTTCGGGTGTTGCGCGTCTCGATTCAATTTCCTCTGGTGTCACTGGTGTTGACCTCTCCAGTGTCCCGATCGTTGGACTCGTTGGGCTGACCGAACGAATATGAGTCTCGTTCTTCGTATATTGGGTACCCAAGGTTTTTGAAGATCCAGGCCGAGTCGAGGTATATTGGTGGTCATCGTTTAAATCGATGGCGGAGTCGTGAGAAGTCACATCCGAGTTGCTGGGTGAGTTTATGCTAAGGCCGTCCGGGAGGTGCTTGTCGAAATCGTTAGGGAAAGATTGATTACGGGTGTCGACGGATACATCTAGAAAACAAAGGTAAATTAGGTCAAATCTTCTGAGACGTTATAATTCTGGGCTTCTTTACCGGACGAGTTTTGGTCGTTCGGTGGGACCACCGAGTCTGACGATACTGAAAGATGGCCTTGATTTGGGCTACCATCAATGGCCGATGAGAAAAATTGCCCAGAGCTGTTGTGCTTCACCTCATAATCGATTAAACAGTCTGCATCAGCTCGAATCTGCTCGTAAAGGCTTATGACCGTTTCTATAGGTAACATCGATTGAAGTTTACAAGAGATGCGGACTGCGTCTAGAATCTATGACAGTGTTAATAAGCGTCAGGTCCTAAGTAGAGTCAAGCCTACCTCTTTCTCTGAATTTTCTCCAGGTAAGAAGTCGAAGCTCCCTTGTTCTCCATAGTGATTGGCCTAGAAGAGTCAGATGGTGCGAGTTCCGATTCGGTGTCTAGCTCACATTGAGAGAAAACTTGATCTGAAGCATTTCAAGGATAAGAGCTTCTGAAGAGGACCAAGGAATTCGATGGCAAGTGATAAACGGGATATCGAGAGCACTTAGAGATCGCTGGTGCACTTTGGGGGGAGGGGGCAACGCCGACTGCGAGGACAAAGTGGGTGCCACTCTTTCTCGGCTCACCTTCCGCTCACCCTCTGCTCACCCTCTGCTCACCTCCTCTGATCGTGGGATCCATTGTGTTCGTAAAGTCGAAACACACGGGATAGAAGTATTTATACAACATTTTGCAAGTGGCCGAGGGCACGAAAGGAACTCCACGGCAATTTGACGAATTCAACTTCCATAGTTGAAGTGAATGACCATATTCTTTCGTCTTGTTGAGAGTTGTTAAGGAAAGGAAAAAACGATCTTGTGAGTTAATCACACGGGATTAGTCATTGTCAAGCCAAAGCAGTTATCATGTGACTGGTATTGTGGACCAATGATGAACGTTAAGTTACAACATAATTGCGGGGTGCTCAGAGCGCTCAGGGAGCGCTCAGGGAGCAAGGTAGGGATTATTCCTCCGGCAGAAAATGCAAACAAACCCTAGGACAGAGTTATTAGACCTAGTATGAGTCACACAGTGCTATCTAGCAGGCTCGACGGGTCTTATTCCGTCATTTCTATTCCAACTTTCGTCACGTGTGTTGATCAGTGCGTTACTGCACTTTTTCGTTGTCTATTGATGCTTACCTAATACGTCCTGATTCAGGACCGCTTAATAAGCGATCTTCAGCTGCCACTCGGCGAGGCCCTTATCATCGGTTATTCACTATGACTTACGAGCTCTGAGAATGGAAAGTTCATCATTCCTTCACATTCTATGCCTATTGAGCGTAGGAATCGGACAATTTTTACTGATCTCAAGTTGCGCTCTAACTAGCATACTCTAATATCCACGCCCACGAGATTTGTACCTGATCATATCCTTCGTTGCTTGTGTTTATTCTCGGTCATTAAGCACGACACTTGTCTTTCAACATCTACAGCTTATCGGGTAGGTCGATTCGACCGTTTGAGGCTCCTTCAGATCAAGTTTTTCCTAGGTTTTCACTAGATTCATGGATAGGACGAGGGTATTGAGACTCCTGTACTAGTAATTAGTCAGGATACCTGATTTAGGTACAAGAAACAACATGTACCAGATTCGAAAGGTCTCTGAGCCATTGATTCTGCATAGAGGAATCAAATATATATATTTGCCCATTTTTTCGGATTCGGACGGCCATAAAGACATCGGATCCACATTCCAGGAAAAATTCCTTCGCCTTTTTGAACAAACTTCGCTTACGCCTATATCTTTGCTGAGATTTGGCTCTAACACTCTCTGACTGACGTTTTGCGACCATGGTTTCTTCGGCATAAAATACACACCGAAAAGAAAATATCATCTGGCTCGAGCTAGAACAGCCCATTATATATTCCCAGCTAGGTCCCTGAGGGCCATGGCAGTTAACTGAGGTGCACTTCCCTGCCACCCTCTTCCCCACAGGGAGGCCCACCGCAGCGAAGGCTTCCTCAGTGACCGTTCTTGACATAAAATGGCACTTGTTCTCTCATCTCCGTCAAGTAAACCTGCCCCCTCCTTTCCTTCGAAGTCGCAATCACATCGTTACATCTCCACATAGAGTATGGAGGTATCTGCCATTTACGCGATTGCTGCGGGCGGCATATTTCTGGCCCTGTTTCTGATACAAATCCGCTGTGTCCTAGTTGACTGGACAGGATCATTTTTTGTTTTACTTTCCAGACATCTGACCCTCCCTGTCCTTGTTCGTAGGCATCGGATCCTTGGACCATGGACCCGAGCTGGTATCCTCGTTCATGTCTCTTACATCGCCGTCAACATCGCTCTGGTCTTTTTGCGTACCGAATCGCTGGTAGACTCGGGCCGCCGGGCAGGCGAGCTGGCCCTCATCAACATGATCTTTCCTCTATCAACCGCCCACCTTGGTTTCCTGGCCGGACTGCTTGGAATCACCTGGCGTACTTGCCGTAAGATCCATCGAGCAACCGGTTGGACAGCTGTTGCTCTGCTGTCATTCCATTGCACTTCAATCATATTGGTAGTTAGAGGTGGTACTGTATCAGAGGAAAGCAATACATTTTTGAGGGCGTCAACAAACGCCGTTTACTCTTGACGTGGTCTAAGTTTCAATGGATTTCACCAGCCTGTGTAACTCTGTTTTATGTAGGTCACATAAAACGTACGCATCAGATACGAACGGTTTTTTTTTATAAAAAAAGGTGTAATCACTATTTTAGAAATCCACCCCAACATTAGTTTTGAACGGTATTTACAAGAGCTGAACTAAGCGTTGGAAGACGGACAACCCACACGTAGTTGAGAGATTGCTAATCCTATACAACTAGTACTGCTATCTCAATCGGTCTTGTCTGGCCATACTCTATCATTCCTAGCGGGATGAGCAGGGCTATAAAGAACATTGATTTCCCGACAGAGAGAGTAGCGTCTTTGCCAACACGATCAACAATGGAGGGTCCCAGCAAATTACCTGAAATGGCAGATGGACATGGAGAGGCACCGTCGAGCACATAGTTAGAGGACTCCGCTGACCAATCACACCCAGACTCACGACACCAAGAGAAATACTTTGGCCGTGGATCCCTTCCAACCCGTACTTTAAATCTTGAAGCAGCTTGAAGAAGAAGACACTGAGCTTGCATTTCAGGCCGCGCCCCTGGTGGGGTACTAGCGGTGTTTGTGGGAGTCTTATGTTTCCAAACACATAGATGGCCAGCAGCTTGAAGAGGTGAACGAAAAGCTGCGGGCCGGAAATATTCAGCTGTGCGAGGAGGGAAATCACTTGAAACTTCGCCAAGATGAGCAGGTAGCTCGCTTGCATACCATTGACAATGCATTGGATGAAGTTCGGGGAAACTTTATTGGTGTTCTCAAAGTTTGGAATGATCAATCGGCCGGTGACTCGGCCATTTTGCCAAGAGATGGGTTTCCCAAACGTTAGTCTTCGCAGTTGAACAGGTCAAAGTAGATTCGGAGCTGTATCACTGAAGTATTGCAGTTTCAGTGTGCGACGATAGCGAGCCTGTGATAGCCCATCATAAATCCCTTGACCCTGTGTCCCTAGGATTCGTTGTCTACCACGTGGGTTGAACAAGCCAAATGCTCGCAGACTGGACTTCCAGCACTTCGTACCGCGTAAAACGATAAGATCATCAAGACCATGAGGATGAGTAGTTGAAGCTGTAAAAGTTAGAAAGGGCAGCAAGTAATCACCGAGGGGGTGAGGATTTACCTCCAGCGATAGCAGCCAACAGGATAGAACAGCCCCTAAGACTGCAATTAGAAGAAGAACAGCTGCCACTCCAACTGTGCAATACAAAGCGCAACGCACTTGCGCTCGAGTCCTGGTATGGGCCATTGTATACCCATCCAGCCACCACAAGAGAGATCCCAAGCCCAGGTAATCCACAAAGAGAAGGAAGAGTACGACGACTCGCAGTGGGCGATCAAAGTAAGTACCAACTACCGTGGCCGTAATCTTCGTCAAACACGAGAAGAGCGCAAACAGCGGAAAACAGATCATCAACTGATATGGCGCACTAAGGAGGCTTCGCAAGAAAATGGTTATTCGGAGATACTGATGTTTGGTGGTTAATATAAAATCGAGAAACAACCTGATGGCACGTACCACGAGTAAAGAGGGAAATAAACTGGTTAGCCCCAATACCACTTCTCTCCCTGCTTGACATTTTTTGGTCCAGCTCAGTCCCATGTGCACTGCCAGTAGAATAATCTTCGGCGCAGACACGGCAAGGTCGAGCCTCTGGTGTAATGAGGTTTTCTGAACTGCTCGACGAGCAGCACGAGAAGGACAAAGCTAGCGAGTAGCAACGCTGTGGCCAGCAGTGCATGCACTGTAGTCGGAATCTGCATGGCTGGCTTGTGGGTTACTTGCAAGAACAAAGGGGACTTCAGCAGACTTTATGCCCGGATTTCCAGCTACGGTGCTTACTAGATTAGCTCTGTATTGTAGGTTTCAACGTCATGAAGCCACCTATCTCGCGTTGTCTAAAAAAAATGGCTTAGAGTTCAATAAGTCTGGTATCTGCTCTTTATTCGTCGCTAGACATCCCCAGACGACATTGTCCCTCCCAGAAATTACCGAGTCTCCAGGAGCCTGATACAATCTCCTAAAAACCGAATGGATGCTCCCAGGAACGACACGGGTATTTCCAGGAGTGTCAGGGATATACATGAAGTATACAGGATGTTTGGAGAAAAGATCTGCGGGACCCACATGGTGCATATGGGTTCCCCTGAACGCGAGGAAGCCTGTTCCTTTTGCTTCCTCGCGCTACGTCTTGTATCTAGAGTCGACTATAGCTTTCTGTAAATATTGACTATTCATCTACGTATACGTGAGACCCTCACAAGGAGCCCCTGAGCCCCCAGGATCTTATAATTGGGCCCCAGGAATCAAACAACCACTCCCAGGAATTCGCATATCTTTGGGCATGTCCGGACCATCAAAGTAACCTTCTCCTCATTAAATTAGCAATTCATAGAATAGGCCCTCATTAGCTACAAAAGTTCTTTAACTCACATTGTTGACTACCCTCAGACTATCGGGTGTTTCCCAGGAACGCCAACGCCATATCCCGGGAGCCCTATGGCTCCTAGAAACCAGCTGCAGGGCCCTAGGAGCAAGTATCACAATCCTAGAAGCCTGTGGCTTGACGTCCAAAGTAGACGATCTTTTATGATGCCGACGTTTACACCGCAAGAACGTCAGCAATGCATAAGCCATGTCTTCAGAGAATATTTAAATAGAGGCCATTAGCCTTAAAATTTTGTATCTGACAATTATCTTATTTCTCCTACAAGAAGTGGTAAATCGTCCGAAAAGCCAAAGCGACCAAAATGCCTCCACAGAGAAGACGTGTGGCGTCGCATCGCCCGAACCCATCCCCCTTACCAATCGTTTATCAAGGTCAGTCTGGGATTGAAGTATCATGACAGTTCCGAATTAACATCGACCTAGGCACGAAATATCCAAATCAAAGGCTCGAGGGAATCATCACCAGCATATATGCTGAAATGTCAAAAATGCAACAAAAACACTACGAGGCAACTGTTATGCTACAAGACTGCAACAACATGTTACGGGCCCACGAAATGGAAAAAGCTGGCTTGGAGAACCAAAACCAGTGTTTTATTGAGCATATCAAGATAGCTCAACAAAAGGCTTGCAACCTAGAGCTCAAGAATAGGGAACTCGAGTACCAACTGGCAAAAGAGAGACAGCAGCACCCCGAACAACCTGAAGAAAGGCAGAGTTAAAGATTTACTGTTGAAGTCACAAAGTTTGCCCGGTTACCGATCGGTATTCGGGTTTATCAGCGAGGCTCTGAACAGGAAGAAAGAAGAGGTTTCTGGAGAAGATCAATGACGCCATAACTGATGGCTGGGTGAACAGGGTACTACATCCATTGGAGCTAGAAATGCTCGATTCTGTGTATTAGGACATGCGAAGGATCATTTTGTTGCGGCGACCGTTCTGACACGGGATTGTGTGAAAGGTAGGTAGTGTATTACTTTGCCTTAGCCCGCAAGAAATAGACTATAAACAGATGGAGGCGATGTACTGATTACCTAAATCAAAGTCGTTTCAGAATTTTGTATCCACACAATGTTGCAATTTCAGTGTGCGACGATAGAAAGCTTATGATTGCCTACCAATAAATCCCTTGACCCAATGTCCCTAGAATTCGTTATCTACCACGGTAGGAAAATTCTTATTCGGAGATACTGACCTAACGTTTGATGGTTAACGTAAAACCGGGAAACGTGATAGCACGTACCACAAGTCAAGAGGGAAATAAACTGGTTATCCCTAATATTACTTCTCTCCCAGTCTCAAATTTTCTGCTCCAGCTTAGGCCTATATGCATTACTAGTAGAACAATCTTCGCCGCAGACACGGTAAGGTCGAGGCTCTAGTAAAAATGAGTTTTTCTAAACTAATCGACGAGACAACACGAGAAGGACCAAGTTAGAGAGTAGCAAGGCCGTGGCCAGCAGTGCATGTAATATAGTCGGAATCTGCATGACTGTCTCGTGGTTAACGTGCAAGAACAACGGGGACTTCAGCTGACTTTATGCCCGGGTGCTTACTAGATTAGCTCTGTGCTGTAGATTCCAACGTCATGAAGCCAGCTATCTTGCGTTGCCTAAAGAGAATGGCTTAAGTTCAATAAGACATCCTCAGACGACATTGTCTCTCCCAGGAACCACCGAGTCCCCGGGAGCCTGATACTAGCTCCTAGAAACCAAATGGATGCTCCTAGGAACGACACGGGTAGTCCTAGGAGCCCCCAATCTCCCGGGAACCTAATACAAGCTCCTAGGAACCGAATAGATACTCCTAGGAACGGCACGGGTAGTCCCAGGAGCCCCTAAGCTCCCGGGAACCTATAGGTGGGCCCTAGGAGCGAAGGGCCGGTAAATGACCATTTAGAACATGCAAGACAATGCCTATGTTCGAGTTCGGCAATTAATTATCCATGACGGGGAAATCTATAAAGCCGTGACTACACCCCATCTACTAAACTATTATTGCTCTACTTTACCATCACCAGTCACGGAAAGCGAATCTCTTATCGAATCAGCGACTGCCTTTTGTTCTTTTCCAAAATAGAACTGACCACCAACAATCATGATATGATGGTCGTTACTTCCAAGAAACTATACTTATTCACCAAGGCTTACGGAGACTAATAATGACCTACACGCCACTATCCTAGACTTGCCGACCGAGATTATTTGGGTGATAGCCAACACCCTACGGGGACACGAAATTTCTGCTCTTGCTCGAACCAGCCGAATAATCTATAAATGAAGAGAGAGGGTTCTTGGGTACAAGAAAGCGCATGTTAAACATGAGAAAGAGAGGGCGAACGGAATTGAGGGGCAAAAGGGCAATCTGCTAAGGACTACATCTCTTCGGAAATCTGGCGACCGATGCTGACGTGGATCAGGGAGATGGCATTGTGAAAGACGAGTCTGTTCTGGCGAAGGGTTTGAAAGTGCGCAGTGCTAGTGGTAGAAACGCTCTATTATCATGCAATATGCAATCTCTCATAAAACACAGACTGTATGTAACCGATTCTCTCAGAGAACACGTAAACGCTTTGCATCGCCTGACTCTGTTCGCAAAAATCGTGTCTTTGCTCGTGACCGCTTTAGAGCTGGCCGATATTTCAATGCAGAGCGATGAAAGTCGATAATCAACGCCCGCCCGAGCTCTTCATTCCAAAGGACATTGTCAGGCCGAAGATCTTCGTGGAAGATTCCCAAAGCTTCGATTTCTTTATTCGATTTGTGAATATTTTTGAGAAGCCCCGGCGTCAGCTCCATCGTGGCTGTGCTTTCGCCCCCCAGCCCATGACGAGCATGTGACGAATCTCTCCAGCCCCATGAAGAAAATAAATTTTTTTCAAGTCGATTGTACCGAGGAAAACAGGCACAGCGGATGCTTGAGCCTTCCGCAGGACTTGATATACCAGCGCTTCGCGGGAGACTTCTTTCCAAAGATCCGACGTGGTCCCTTTCCCAACGACAACATAGCCATATTTAGCACAAATGAGTTTAAACGGCGCGCCGTATGCCCCGCAATTTCCAAGGGGCGTGCATCGGTCAATGTTTTCATCCAGTTGTGCTTTGAGTAACCCCACCAAATCCTCCGAGGTGATGGAATGTTTCATGACATCTTGGCCCCGACGATGGAGCTTCATGTTTGGGCAACTGTTGTCTAGGATACCTCCAGTCTGCAACCCGAATAAGCATCGCTGGGTGCAAAATTGTGCATCATAGCGTTTGGAATGGCTGCCTTGGTCTTTCGCAGCCTCGCTTTGACGAGCCGCTCGTTGCGCGGAAGGGGAAGATGTGACCTGGCTGAAGCCTCGTTTGCGTCCCGTCGCTTGATTCGAGTCGGAGCCTGACGAGTCTGGCGACTGCGTCCGGTGGCGCACATCCGAGGGCGCACAGCTGGCTTGAGACCTCGTGGGCACTCGGCGACCCGCTGTCGGAGATTCCAGTGGAGGCGACGATGGTTGGTAGTCCGAACTCGATTCTAGACTCACATACTCTGAGTTGGTACTGTCGGAGTGCGGAGCGATTTGCTGCAAGACTTCCTTGGGAATCTGAGAACGAGCGTGGTCGAAGCTCGTTGTCCACAAATGGAGCCGCGACTGTACAGTATTTCTCCATTCCTGGTCACGAACAGGGGAATGGAACGCCATCAAACACAGACACAGAACCCTAGCGATGGAGGTCTTCGGCTCTTGGAGACTTTGTTCCGCTGTTAGGATCACAGAAAAAGTAGTACAATGTGCTAGGATCGTCGTATGGAACGCGGAGAAGGATGCGAGCGACCCCATTCGTTACATAAGAGTACTCGAGCCCCTCCTGGATCATCACATGGTATTCCTGGACAATGGCGGAGCAGACGAGCCGCTCTGCATTGTATTTCAATTTTTCTGCGTGATCCGTAGTGATTTTATTTGCTCTGACCATGCATTTCCATATGTCCATTTCCCTGAGCCCCACGCGAAGGGCTTCGACAGAAAGCTTGTGGGGCGGCTTGTATTCGACCGTAGTGAGGAGGGTGTTAGTGTTGCCGTTGACTCGGTGGATACAGAACTGATCAGGTCGGGGGTTGTGTATGCCTGATGGTTGGTTTGCATTTGCTTCGCTACCGCCTCGTGGATTAAAAGAGTTGGTGTGATTGTCGAACCAAATTCCGTCTCCAAGTCCGAACTCGTCTCGGGCAGCGTCGATTTTGCATAGCTCTGCAATGATATCACGGACGTGATCTTCCACGGCGATTCGCTCATAGTCCTCGAGACCTTGTTCACTACTAATTGGGCGGAGACCGAATCGTCTAGCATCCTCCTCAAGCGCAATCAAGGGGGTAAACAATCGTGCTCGGGCTTCCTCGGTTGGCTGGAGGTAGTTACACACAGAGCTATATATCTCTTGCTGTCGAGATGAAAAATCGGTCCATAGTGCTAGTCGTGTCGGACAGTATTTTCCGGTGGGAAGAGGTATGTTCCCTGTAGTCGAGCGAGATGGTGTTTCGACTCTCAATGGTCGGGAAAGTAAGCTATGGCAGAAGCGCAGGAGTTCTGCAAATGTCGTTCGTCGATTGCGCTCCCTTTCCTGCTTCTCTCGCTCTTCAGCCTGCTTCTCTCGCTCTTCAGCCTGCTTCTCTCGCTCTTCAGCCTGCTTCCGTCTCTCTTCTTCCTGCAAAAAGAGTTTCTTATAATCGGTGGGGCTGTTATTGGCCATTGGGTTGTCGAAAGGAAGAGAGGGATTAGGAATACCTATCCAGGTGCGACCGGCGCTAGCTGGCTTATCAGTTGATCCGTTATTCGGCAAAGATATTATCCGGAATCCGTTGCTACTATGATTGGTTAACAGAAGCTCAAGCCAGGCTGAAATCTGAGGTGGGAGAAGGGACAATAGTTCCGGGCCTATGGCATGCAATCTAGAACCGATGTGTTGTATTTATGTCCGTGTCGCAACCACGGCCCGGGGAAATTGTCAGAGTTCGAGCATGTCTAGTGGGTTTTTGGTCGCTGACAAATGTTGTGCCTTTTTGGCCGGCTGGCGTAGTGGTACAACCCAAGCACCCACGATCCTTCACAGGAACCCTCATGCTCCCGGAATTTGTGCTGAGGCCAGGAGCAGATGTAATGCGGTCAGTTCTATTTCGGAAAGGAAGGAAAGGCAGTCGCTTACTCGATAAGAGATTTGCTTTCCGCGGCTGGAGATAGCGATGTAGAGCAATAATAGTTCAGTAGATGGGGTGTAGTCACGGCTTTATAGATTTCCCCGTCATGGATAATTAATTGCCGAACTCGAACATAGGCATTGTCTTGCATATTCTAAATAGTCATTTACCGGCCCTTCGCTCCTAGGGCCCACCTATAGGTTCCCGGGAGCTCAGGGGCTCCTGGGAATACCCGTGCCGTTCCTAGGAGTATTTATTAGGTTCCCGGGAGATTGGGGGCTCCTTGTCAGAGATCGAGCATATATAGTAGCTTGGGTGTTTGGTCGCTGACCAAACATTGTGCCTTTTTGGCCTGTTAGCCTAGTGGTTAAACCCAAGCAACTGCATCCCTGACACTCCTAGGACTACCCGTGTCGTTCCTAGGAGCATCCATTCGGTTTCTAGGAGCTTGTATCAGGCTCCCGGAGACTCGGTGGTCCCTGGGAGGGACAATGTCGTCTAGGAATGACTAGCGACGATTAAAGAGCATAAAACAGACTCATTGAACTCTAAGCCATCTTCTTTAGATAACGCAAGGTAGCTGGCTTCATGACGTTGGAACCTACAGCACAGAGCTAATCTAGTAAGCACCGTAGCTGGCAATACGGGCTTAGGGCTGAAGTCCCCTTTGTTCTTACACGATAGCAACAAGCCAAGATTCCGACTACAGTGCATGCACTACTGACCACGGCGTTACTACTCGCTAGCTTCGTCCTTCTCGTGTTATATATCTTGTCGAGCAGTTTAGGAAAACTCATACACCAGAGCCTCGAAGCCTCCTTAACCATATCAGCTGATGGTCTGTTTTCCAATATTTGCGCTTTTCTCGTGCTTGATCAAGATTATGGTCACGGTAGTTGGTACTTACATTGATCGCCTACTGCGAGTCCTCGTACTCTTCCTCCTCTTTTTAGATTACCTAGGCTTAGCTTCCCTAGATAGGCATACAACGGCCCATCCCCGGACACGATTACAACTGCGTTGCGCTTTATATTGCACAATTGAAGTGGCAGCTGTTCTTCTTCTAATTGCAGTCTTAGGGGTTGTTCTGTCCTGTTGGCTGCTATCGCCAGAGGTAAATCCTCACCTTTGCGCCATCAATTTCCGAGTCACCACCGGCATTTCCACCGCTAATCCCTGACCCCTGTATTTCCAATTGCTTCAAGAACACATCAAAAATTACATGTGTTGACTCTGTGCTATCGTGTGAAAAACACGGTCATAAAACTGCAGGAGGCTGGTGACCCTTCGTTTTCAGCTTTGACCGAAAACCAAGACCACCCGACAAAGGCAAGGATCGCTTCAACGTTTTATTCTTCAACGAAGTCAAATCATTGAGGGCTAGTGCTTTGAAATTTAGAAGAATATACAACATGCAATAAACGGTTGGCTCGCGTAGCGAAGCCCCACGCTGCTGACATAGGCTGCTGAACACATTGTGCCGGTGGAGACGATTAGCCCGGTTGTCTTAACCTGCCCTCAGAAAAGAATAGCCTATGCTTTGGACCTACCCTTTTCCTCAAAATTAACAGTTTCTAGACCATCACTTAGTTCCCGCTCGTTTTCAGCTTTAACCGAAAATCAAGACCATCTGACTAAGGCAAGGATCCCTTCAACGAAGTCAAATTATTGAGGGCTAGTGCTTTGAAATTTTATACAACTTGCAATAAACGGTCGGCTCGCGTAGCGAAGCCCCACGCTGCAGACATAGGTTGCTGTGAACACATTGTGCCGGTGTAGACGACCCGATTGTCTTCACCTCCCTCAGAAAAATCGCTTGCCCTGTTCATTTGGATCTGCCCTTTTTCTCAGAATCAATGTTTTCTAGACATCACTTAGTTCCCGCTCGTCGAAGTTGATCTTTTCTACTTGCCGTTAACCGCTGTTCCCACGGAAACCGACCGACCCATTGTTGAACATTTTGTGAGATGTCAACGTAAAAGTTTTTATTTGCCAATTTGTGACCTCGATTTTTACATTGAGTATCATGTTTAGCTTCAACAATTTCGTGCGCCATTCTGTCCTTTCAACGAAATTCACTTCCCACCCACTCCAACACGTAGACTCTGGTTCACCGTTCTGGAAGTTTCTCATCCAACCGGAAGGCCAAAGTCCACCCTTTCAACCGTTGTAGTTGATAAGTGCATTTGGTTGCCTCATTTTAATTTCTATCACTCAGTTTCTTCCTATCGGACTAAGCTATATGTAATGTTGGATGAAGATTAACCCTTGCTTCCAATTTAGACAATAGTGTGAGCTTGATGTTGCCGGGTCGACGTATCAGGACGTGGGGGCTCAGGGGAAGCCTGACCCAAAAAGCTAGACATGCCATCTTCTCAAAGTATTTATAAATGATCCATATAATGTCCGGTGCACACAAACGGTTTTATTTGGATTGATCGAACGGTGGCATATTAGGACTGGAGGATCAAGCTCTGCTTCTATCTGATGGGCTTTTTGCTATCGCATGCATTTTGAAGCCCTCCCTAAAGTCTAGCTTGAAACCTAGGGCTCCGCAGGAAAAGCGTGACACCTACATGACCGTGATCCTTGGAAATATCGTACGCTGTCGTGCCTTCCAAATCTTTTAGTCGCTTTTTCATATCACGTTGCATGGCCAACAGTCGCACAATTTCCAGTTGACCACCAGCTGCGGCCCACCAGAAAGATGTCCTCCCCAGATCATCCATTTGGATCCTCCAATAACAGGTTAGCGATTCCAAGTCTACCGTTAGTTGACGCGAACATGAGCGCTGTAAAGGATTGATATTTGCGCAGACTGCATACATTGCACGGAGTTTAATAGCTATTGCAAGTCCCGTTCGAAGTTTTCATGTATCTTACACGTATCTCAACGGTGGGTCCTAGGCGACACGATACAATTTGAGTTGTCCTTAGGAAGTCTAGCAAAGCATGCAACTTGCCTAGCTCATTCAAGAGGCATTCCCTTGGCCCAGAAAGCCTAGTCAAGGCTTAGTGGCACTGGGGAACCAGCTCCAAATTTATTTTCCGGATCCCATTGTTGCTTCAAGGCGACTAATCTCGGCAAGTTATGCGCTCCATACCACGCTTCGGGGCCTTCATCCCCGAAGGCCTGGTTGACATATACATGCAATGTGTCAAAGCCCATTGTGTCGTGGAATTCTTGTCTAACAGGCTGCATGAATGCATTCATGGCATCATCATACTCTGCAGTAGGAGTTTTTGCCAATAAATACCTGGGATTATACGTTAGTATAGATCGGACCACCGAGAAACAATATTGCATTTAGCAAGGAGATGGGACGGGTCTCATACACGTCGTATTTGGTATCACGCCAAGGGTACACTCCCCTCTCGCTCTCTGGTACTGCCTGAACAGCGTCCGTAGCATGCCGTTCCATCACCATCTTGCTGTCAAACCAGATGTTGGAAGCAGAGAATTGGGTGAGATGATTCAAATATGACTCCAAAACTGCTGGGTCTGTTTGGCGAAGACCAACGTCGTAGACGCTGTAATGGTCTCCCCTCGCACAGAGAGGCTCTCCCGGTTCATCCCTCTGGTGCCAAGGGATGATTTTGATAGACGCTTCGATTGGATCTATTGCCAGGAACTTGTCAATCCACGGCTGGGCAGCTGATGGAGGCCCAACGAATGAGAGCGTCGAAGAAATTGAGGGCTAACTGCATGTCAGCTGTCTTCGCCCAAGGTCAGACCCATGGTTAGAAAAAATACTTACCTGATGCAGGGTACGGCTGTAGCTGAATGTCAAACTCGTATATAGCTCCGGAGGAAATTCATCGTCCATGGAGTGAAATAACTCAATAACGGAGCGATTACTCTGCGGCGAGTGTTTAAAGTCGGCTTGAATACGAGTCCCATGATTGGTTTGGTCGTATAACTGGTAAGTGGCAGATGTGATGGCGCCAAAGTTAAAACCGGCACCACGTATGGCCCAAAAAAGGTCTGGGTGTTCAGTGCTAGAGACAGTAATTGCGTCACCAAAAGCTGTCACAAGGCGAACAGACACGAGCGAGTCAAGCAGTAGCCCATGGATACCGTAAAGTGCACTAAGCCCGCCTCCAAGCGTTGGGCCGACCGTATTAATGCAGCGGTCATCAGTAAGAGCTGTTTTCCATCCCCACAGATCGTCAGTGGGTGCTGGCTGAAGGGACCAGAGGGGCGAACGTACGGGTTTCCTTTCCAACAGAAGACAAGAGGTCATAGACCGGGCCATTCTCTACCCCACTCCCTACGGTCACCAAGTTGTTCGCGAGGTCCAGGTCAATCGATTTGAGATTGCTCATATCGATATTCACCGCATTTTGCACCGTGGCAAATCCAATCTTAACACTATGACCCCCACCCGTAACAAAAAAGGGGATTCCATGGGAGGACGCAGCCGTGATCTGTGATTTGTCTGAGTACAGGGCGTCTCTCGGCGAGTTTTTTTTTTCGGTGTACTCACAATACTCTGGACATCTTCCTCACAAGCCGGCTTGATTGTGGCTATGTACGACGGCTCCTTGTACGTGGACCATCTAGGGACCACGTGTTCCACGTCGGACTCGCTAGCTAGGTAAATCTGAGCCTCCGAGGACAGAACAGGACGGAATATTTTGTAAATATCGGTTGTTGCCTGAATTTCGGCTGTGACAAGGCAAGTCAACGCCAGGAGGATCCCGAAGCTAATCTGCATGGCCTCTAGCTGCATTGGACGATGTAACTAGATGCGGAGGAGCGGTGGGTGGCCAATTTGATGGATGGTTACTTTTGTTGATTGTTCCACAGGGAGACTTATATATGCATGCACTTTACCACTGGTCGTCCAGAGCATTGTTTAAAAGGGACATTAAGATTATCCACCCCCGCAACCGGTACACATCCTGCAAGGGGGTGAAATCCTTCAATGTAGGAGGCCCGCGAACAACGATGAATGGACTCTAAACGAACAGGAATCACTGCTATCACTCGTTGTATTACATTGCATTGATTCATATGGGGTATGCTAGGGAGATAGACTGTGTAACGGAGTGTGAGGTTACAGTTATGCAACATTCTTTGGCAACTACAAGTATTCGTAGCTCAATGTCCTCCTGCTGTTGTTCTAGTCACCCGGTATTCGGTGAGGCGGTATGGGATACGGCATGTAGGATATGCGCATTTATGGTGCTGAACGTCTTGTAAGTGGTACCTTGGCTTCGCGGATAGTTATATGGTCTTACAGGGAAGCAATGGATGCCCACTGCTATGTATGTAAGGAGGGCCGGGGCTAATTTCCCCATACCCAGTAAGGCGCAGCTAGCGCGGTGATAGCACCCCTTGTGGGACGAGCCGAACCGTAACCATAGGAAGTTAATAAGCTAAATTTGACTAACTAACTAACTAACTAGCTAGTTAGTTAGTTAGTTATCAGTTAAAATATTTCATTAGTGAGTTAGGCACACCGAGTGAGATACGTTAACCAATTTACAATTGTTTAATTAATTTAATTCAATATACGGATCCAGCGAATGGACTATGCGTAGTGCATTGTAGACCGGCCGGCAATCCTTGGTAAATTTCGCTATGTACTCCAGGGTATCGGATATCACCTACACCAGGAAATGCCCGTTGGGAGTTACGGAGACACGTGACCAGGGAAGCTACTCCCAGAGATACTCATGAGCCTACCCCGGGGGTAGCCACGAAGGATATATAAGGACACTCATTCATGTACTTAGATTAGTTCTTCGTCTTCAATCCTACATTGTTACTTGTGTTTACCTTTGGAACTACTGTGACTCTTTAACTTGATTATAACTTGACAACACTCACGAGCAGACCAATACTGCGGTATAGATCTACTCGGCGCTCTCACTGGCATCGTTTCCCGATCTCTCAACAGGACTTAGGCTAGCGTAAGACCTGACAGGCAATAGCTCAGTTGCGACAGACCGTTGACGTTGGATACCTGAGGAGTATTAAGGCAAGTATACCCGGAACCCATCTAACCTAACTGTGACCAGTTAGCAGTGCGTAACACTATAGTCGTCCCTTCAGTGTATATCCGGATTGTTTTTATACTTGGCCTATCGTAAATATAAACTTTTACGGTTAAAATTTTATAGAATGTTTAATAATAGGTCGGTCGATTTCCGTAGGAATAGCGGTTAACGGTAAGTAGAAAATACCAGCCTCGACGAGCGGGAACTTTAGTGATATTCTAGCAAATATTGATTCTAAACAGCTAGATTACCCCTGACCCACACTTTCGGCAGTATCTTAGTACAGTAATATATATTGGCATAAAAATAGCTATCGTATCATGGTTGTATGGGCTATGCGTGTCTAGAGCAATTCACTTGCAAACAAGCCAAACAGCCGAGCTGGCAGGAGGTTCGGTCGGTTGTCTGGTCACTTCTCACCTCCCCCTTTAGCTAACCACGTTCACTCGACTACTCTACTAATACAGTGGATGAGCGAAGACATACGTGGATACAATACTGGTAGGACGAAGTTTTTTTTTTCTTTCCTATTTCCCTTCGAATCTCCTTCGTTCCTTCGTTCCTTCGATCCTTCGGAAAACTGGAAGCAAACGCGGTATACTGTGCCGAGGATAGATCTGAGCCTCAATACGAGTTATGCAAGTGTCCGGGTCCCGATCGGCTTCAGGCCCCTGGATTAATTTACGGAAGAAGCAATAATAGTTAAATGAAAATCACTGGGAAGACCTGGCCATTTGTGGTTCTGGCGTCCCGATCGATCTCCATGCATCAGTTCCAGTGGATATATGGGAAGAGTCACATCGGACTTTTGGTATATGTATCATGCTGTATACATTAGATCTCTCTAAAAATCAAATCCTGGTCAGGCTGTGGTCATATTTGTGAATGGGCTTTCTCCATGGGGATATCCGGGCGTCGTCCACTGTCAGCGTCATCTTGCTCCGACTATTGAGAGGACACTTGGACATGTGTGCTCGGTTATCCAGGATCTCTCCACTTAAACAACCGCACAGCCACCTGATAGTGTCCAGTCCATCTGAATGGCAACAGGTGTCAGGACCGAGGTAGCTATCCATTGCTCGACTCGGCAGAGAGCAAATGCCGAAGAATACTCCTATGAGGAATGAGAAGAAAACCTTGAGCTCAGAGAAACTCGCTGCCGGCACTATCTCCCTAGCGGCCATGACTTTGTGTGGAGGGATTCAGGCTTGCAGTCCTCGGGGTTATGCTCATCTTCATGTTATCTCCCATCACTTTGCGGCAAAGAGTGATTGGAAGAGTCCGAGAAGCTTGGGCCATGCTAGGGAATCTTCTCAACTTGATGGGCCTGCCATACTGGCGTTGGGCTAGATTTGGTTTCTGGTCAAACAATAACTTGTTTTCGTGTCCATCCAATGTTTTATCCATGTCCTTTTATTATTCTTTTTCTTTTTATATTTTTTTCAAAGCTTTTTGTGACTTTGGTGTTGGTGATTTTTTTTACTAATACTTGTTCTCATCTCCATTTTGGTGCACAGGTTCCTCGAATTCTACAGCAACTCAGAATGTAAATTTTGGTTTGAATTCCATGAGCAGCTCTCCGAAATTCCATGTCTATAGATCCATATATCCACAAACAGGAATCCCATGGAATGAATGGTCTGCAAGTTCATCCAAGTCCTCTTCATAGAGGGCATACAATGGAAGTCCAGCTATGAATGGACCGAGACCCACGTATAATTTCCCTTGAGGAGCCATGGTACTGGGTCGCCGTTAATCTTACCATGTTTCGGTTATCCTGTTTTTCCTTGGATACTACACGGCTAGGCCTCTGGAATTCGAGACTCCATAAACGGACCGAGGTGAAGAATGTAGAAATCCCACTCTACGGAGTAATCGTGACCTGAGTACTTGGTAAAAAAGAGAATTAAGTCCCAAGGTGCAAACCCAAATTGACGGCCCGGAACTCTATCAGTCATCCTTCGACTGCTAGAATATCCATGGATGTCCATGGATAGGTCTCTTCTAGAAATTACAAAGAACTAGATCGCAGTATAACTTGGATACTTGGATACTCACCTTCAATATTTATAAGCCGTGCGTAGGTCCACAATTTCCCACCTCCCTTTTACCACCCTACAAAGATGACGTACACTAACCTTAGCTCATATAGGAAAGCATCAAGGATGATCACCTTGGATCTCTGGTTCATAAACCACCGGGGCTCCACTACGCAACTTGTCCGAACAAATCATATTTTCCTAAATTAGTTCAAAGATGATAATATGGAGACCTTCTGTTCGGGATCCACTGGGAACTGTAGGATATCACCCGTCGAGGCTCTAAACAAAGTTTTATGAGCGTTTTGCTATTCCACTGGGAACGTCGGTGGCTTTCAATTATGTTTACATTCGATTTTGACTACCTGAACGGGTTGGGGATCCGACCTCTCTCGGAGGTCTTGACTTTCTGATTTCGATATGGATCGTTTTGAATACTTACGTCTACTGAATTGGGTTGACCTTGAAGCTGATCTGGGATAGAGTCTGGTTTGGGAGAAACCCTAATCCGGGATCGCAGTCGACCTAGGATGGAACCTGACTCTAGCTGGGATGAAATGTCAAACTAGGATGGAACCTATCTGGGATGTTACCTGACTCGAGCTGGAACAACCCTAGCTTGAGCTAGAAGAACCCTGACTCGCGCTGGAATGGAATCTGGATCGAACCATACAACTCGATCTGGCCGCACTCGATCGGCGTGAAATTCTCGATCTGGCGATATGGACAATTGGAATCCTGTGACGGAACCGGTAGGCGGTCGAGTATCTATAAATCACCATTAGCTTCAGAGCACGTCGATGAATATAAGTCTGCGGGCCCCTAACCATTATTCTTCATGAGCCCCGTTTTTGTAGCCGGGACAGAATGACGGGCCACATGCGGATCTGGTAAATGCTGCGCTGTGCTAGTGCGGCCTATCTAGGTCTAGTCTTACAAATGGAGACATGGAGACCTTGGCCCACAGTCTTAAGCAAAGAGGATTGACTCTATAGAGGATCTTGAATTGAAATTGCTACCCTATTCCATACAGAAAACATCATCGACCCCCTTTTGTAGCGAGATATTCACGCTTTTAATGGTAACCTCGAGTTGCCGTCCATTCGTTCTGGCTGCTACACACCCTCGTTGATCACTGCGAGTTCAGTACATATTCCTCATGGCTGAAGACAATTCCAGAAAATCCACGGTGGAAGATGTCTTCATCCCCAAAGAGCTATTCACAACTGCCAAATTCAACTCGCCATGGGAATTGGCGCGATGGGAAGAGAAGAGTCTCTCCCGGACAACCATTGTATATCGCTTCCAGTCCCTCGCACCTCTTCGAATCGTTCTCTGAGTCTTTCTGCGCTCCGAAAAGTGACAAGACCAAGTCGAGCATCCGGCCTCGTGGACGCAGCGATCCTCCTGCTTTTCAGGGTATGGAACTGATATCCCCATATCTCGGGCAGAGTCCACTAGAAATACATTGAGCGACCATCTCATATCGATGACCATCTCTTATACACACCGATAAGCTAATTATATCTCATTCTTCAGGTACATTTGACTACCTGACAAAGCCCACCGCATTCCAGCCCGCCTCTCCAATCCCCGAGAAAGAACCAGTAACACTTGTTCAGAATGCATTCCTCAATTCCCAACCAGACAGCAGCAAAGTCAGCTCGCATACAATCAGCAGCGAGCAGAGCAGCCTGCAAGAAGTCTATGAACAGGCCAAATTGAGAGGCGTTGCCATTCAACGAAAGTATTGGGTTCGGCTTCTGTTTGAATATAGCATCTATGCATTCCTTGTGTTATTCGTTTACTTCATTCTTGTTGGTATGCCCCTCTGGAAAGGTGCGGTCTGGTGGCTGTATTATGTTGTCCGAACTAAGTTCGTGATCCCAGGAGGATACGCAATTATCATTGGTCTGGCTGCACTGTAAGTGTCTTTTCCCAACTCCCACTTTCTTACCCTAATCAAACACAGATACGCCTTCTGTCCTCTGATGATCCTTTTTGAGAAAGATCCTCCACCCCTGGACTCAGCATCCAAATGTCCATACCTGGAAAGCAACACCTCCTATGTACATTCAACTGCTCTCCTCATCCCCTGTTATAAATCAGCCGCCATCATCGGCGCAACTCTGGAAGCCGCCTTGAAAATATTTCCCAATGAGAACATCTTCGTCATCGCAAATGGCAACTCCAAAACTCCCGTCGACAACACGGAAGAAGTCTGCAAACCCTACGGGGTCAACCACCTCTGGGTACCTATTGGCTCCAAAATCGTGGCGCAGTTCGTCGGCAGTCACGCAGCCCGAGATCTTGAAAATGCTCTCCTGATCGATGACGACTGCCTCCTGCCCCCAAATTTCCCCATCGTCAGCCACAGACTCCAAGGCACTGTCAAATGTCTTGGGTACACAATCAAAAGCGTCGGCCCCAATTCCTCCAAGGGTACATTCTGTCAACAAGCCCAGGATCTGGAATACAAAATGTCCGGGATCCAACGGGCTTTTTTTGGGAAATTCGGCAGCGCTACATTCCCCCACGGAGCGATTTGGCTCTGGAATATCGAGTTCCTCAAAGAGACCTTCCATGAACATCCCGGCTTCTCCGTGTCGGAGGATTGGTTCTTTGGCGATGCATGTCGGCGTCTCGGGGGACGGATCACGATGTGTTCGCAGGTCTTTGTCGAAACAGAGACGCCGGCTTCGGTGTTTTACAGTAGTTCCGGTTGTAGTCGTGGTGGCTTTGGGGAGATGACTGTCCTCCAGCAGCGGTTCAAGCGGTGGAATTTCTTCTTCGTAATTGGTGTCTACTACGATTTAAAGTACATATTGACGAGCTGGAAATTGGGGTGGTGGGAGTTTGGTGCCAAGTTGTTCGTTTTTCAAGAGGTACAGAGACAAATCCTATCCTGGACATTGACTGTCACGCTAACCATAACCCTAACAGGTCTACGAAACCCTCATCTACCTCTTCTCTCCTTTCGTCCTGCCCATCTCATTTATTGTCCGTCCCTCCTTTTGCGGAATGTTACTCGGTGTCACGATTGGGATGTACATTCTTAACGTGATCATCTTCAACGAGGTCCACCTCCGATTAAAGAAAGAGCGCATCGACTGGAAAGTGCTGCTGCTCTATTACACGTTTTACAAGATCGCTCTGACGTTCATCAACGTGGTCAGTTGCTACTGGTCGCTGTACAAGTATGCGCGGTATTTTGCGCAACGGCACCCGAAAGTCATTGAAGACCGCGATGCAGTTGAGGTGTTACTTAATCTTGAGAAGGAGTCCAATTCGAGGAGAACATCGGTGGAAAATGATATTATTTCGCTTGATGATGGCGTTCTGGGGAGGGGCGTTGGGAGGAAATTGACGCTTACGAAAGTCAAGGCTGGGAAGAGGGAGAGTGAGAAGGATGGGTGCATTTGAACAGTCCGGAATGTATATATCATGTGATCTTATAAATTTGATATTTTAATGAGATCTATTGTATACAGCATGATACATATACCAAAAGTCCGATGTGACTCTTCCCATATATCCACTGGAACTGATGCATGGAGATCGATCGGGACGCCAGAACCACAAATGGCCAGGTCTTCCCAGTGATTTTCATTTAAACTATTATTGCTTCTTCCGTAAATTAATCCAGGGGCCTGAAGCCGATCGGGACCCGGACACTTGCATAACTCGTATTGAGGCTCAGATCTATCCTCGGCACAGTATACCGCGTTTGCTTCCAGTTTTCCGAAGGATCGAAGGAACGAAGGAACGAAGGAAATTCGAAGGGAAATAGGAAAATATAGATATCAACCGACTTACCTGGCCTACAAATGCTGGATTCCTTTGGTCCCCTTTTGTTGAACCCTGGATGACCACTATATGCTGAAATTCGGTTGATTAGGAAAATGAGGACGATGATTAACCACTTCTATCCCAACGGTGATGAATCCTAACCCTAGGACCTCTATCTGTCGGACCAGGACTCGTAATACGCCCTAACTCTAGGGTATTACGAACACACGCCACTATTAGAATATGGATTTAGCCCTTCACCGAACCATTGTCCCTAGGATGGTTCCGAGCCCTTACTTTTAACCCCACTAGAAACCAACAAGCTGCTTTAGCTCTCCGAGTGGGAAGCAAATAGGCTTAACGACGACCTTCCCGCAAGCTTTATTTGGTATACTATCGAGTGGAAAGTCAAAGTGAATAATTGGTCTATATTAAAGTGAGATCCAACAAGTAGTCTGCGCCAAAACCCGCAAACATCACACATGGGGTCTGAACAAAGCCAGATCCCGGAGTCGGGGCAAAGAGTGAGGATTGATCGGTTTGGTCATACGAGTCAAATAGCGGTGGGTCATGTTGAGTACTGAATGGGCTACAGCTCATATTTCTGGGACTAGCAAGGGAATCATTATCAACATCAATTTTCATCAATAAACAGACTCCCTAGGTGATGGTTCGCTTTGACCAAATACCGTTGATCCTTACCTGGAAAAAGCGACCGCAGAGAACAGAGCACAAGAAAACAGCAAGTATTGCAAAATGAATAGCATGGACGGTGACAGTGTTGGATTATGCAGTTTTGCTTGGATTTGAGCAATGATGATGTCCTAGAGAGTGCAGTACGGTTGTGGGTTGGGACACCTAGAAACGAGAAATCGAAGATCGCCGTGGGAAAGCCAATCAGCCACTCTAATCATGGTGATTGCCTTGTTTGCATGTAAATCTTCGCTATTCCATGGTATTCCATTGATGATCGACCACTAGTCCTGATTGGGATAAACGTCAGCATAAAATATTGAAGGCCCTCATAAACAAATCTGCGTCCTATTCCTAGCCCAGGGGATCAGAACAAAATAAACTGACCGATGCCAGGAACCTAATTATACGAAACATAATAATGTACATCGATATTTGCGTGTTGATGCTATTTAACAGTGAATTATTCATGGACGGTTTTTCAACGATCAGTCAGTAAATTGAGGGCGATAACTTTCGATGGATCTTCATCAGCCAATCGCCCTACGACTTCAATCACATGCATCATCCAATACCTCCGCACACCCCAACCGAAAAGCCAATTTCGTAGGTATCTGGTAAATAAACTAAGAACACAATTCTGGTATCAAATACCTGCCTATACCTTGAGCAGTCATATACATATATGTAGTGACGTATGTCAAATAATTTCACGCACTAGTGCCTTGGCAGTGGGGCTTGAGGGAAGAAAAGCAGTTGTCAGGGAGGAAGCAGATTTCGCTAATGACTGTAGCCGGAGATGAGGACGAGCTAAAGATCCAAGAAGGGTTCTCTAGGACTCCTTTCTACACCTTGGAGTAGGAAGACCGAGTAGCCAGGCTAGCCAATGATATCTCGCATTTGCCAGCCCTGTTTGGGTTGGTAATCAGGTCTCCGTGAGCCTCCATATTGTAGTCCTCTTCCATACGGAGCCTTCTTCCATACGGAGCCCTCGTCCATACGGGGCCTTCTTCCATACGGAGATCTCTTCCTTATGGAGCCTTCTTCCTTATGTAGAATTCATCATTGGACCGCCAATCAGAGCTACATTCTCGTAAAGTAAATTAGACTATTGGGATAATGGTTGCATAAAATCCCTGACCGAGGATAGGAAAAACAAAGGTTCTTTCTGGTGAGAGTTCCGCATCGGTCTTATGACTTCATGTAGGTTGTTGCGGTGTATCTTTACCAACCTGCTGTAGATCCTGGTCTGTCACTAGCATCGGGGCTGGATAGTAGGAGTTCTTGATAGGTCAGTCATCTTTTCATCAGAGCCATAGTTTGAGACATACTAATTGTGAGCTGAGGAAAGCCCAAAATCCCGAAGTATCCGCTGATAAAATATGTACCTGGCCCGTCTCTCGGATACGAATTGCCACGCACACATCTGCGCTGCACATCCTACTATATTCGCATGCCTTTTTCATCAGACTTGTTTTGCAGCGGCATTGTTTTTGCCGTATCAATTTTCTCTTCGAAGTGGTATCCTTGGACTTGGTAGCCATGATGGCGGCCATTGGGCACGTTGTCTTAATATCTGGGAGGTATTTGGGGAGTAGAGAAACCTATATAGAAAAATATAGATAGAGGGGACTCCTATAAGACTTAGGTCCGCTAATAGGAAAGGGCTCAATAAACATAAATGTTATTGCACAAAGGGGAGCCATCAATCATGGAACGCGAAAAGACCACGATATTCAAAGACCACGATATTCCTCAAATTATTACACGCAAATTGGTCCTTTATATATTGAACTCATAAAGGCGGCCCCCGCAAGACTTGAAGAGCAATCACCAGTGTTATTTGCGGTCATCAAATGGGTGCGGCAACGGGAAAGCAACCGTATTTCTAGAATAAAATGATTCTGATCAGAGTAGGTTCGAAATGGGAAAGGAGGAAATACACATTTTAATTTTCAAACGATAACGGTACTCGCCAAGAAGACCACGATTTTAGCTTCGCAAGTATCTTGGGGACGAAATACCCTTTCCCCTCTAACGTGGACAGGAACCTGTGTCGCAGGTGTTGCGGGCAGAATGTTATTTTTTAATATTTAGGACCCACCCACTTGCTTCCCCAAATAGTAAGATGGGCCGGAGCTAGCAGTAGGATAACACCCAAAGATAACTTACAAACTGTACAAAATAACATTTACAAAAAAGCGTAATATTCTGATAGGTAACTATATTTACCAGCTACTATTATTTCACAGTCAAAGTAGATCAACAACTTCGTGCGGGTCAGCACCTAAAATAGCGTTGCGGCCACGAAACGGGCGCGGTATTTTGCATTCAATCACCCTTATCCTTAAGTCCGGCTAACACCGAAGTGTTTTAATGTTATAGTATCGATAAAATTGGAGGAACGAAAAATTAGTGCATGTTAAAATATGGTACCTGCTAAGATTAAAGGCGTATAATCTTAAGCGTGGAGTAATATTCCGAGCTCTTGAATTATTTCCGTCGTTAACATTATTTTCTCTTTATTTGGGAGCCCGTCTAATATCTTAAACATCATTTATCGAGTTCGTCGTGTGCAATGGTCAACATACGTTCAGGATCTATCAACCTATCCGATTTCCACACTTGTTCTGGTTCAAACCCACCTAGCTGCTTACCTGATTAATCTACGTTTTGCTGAGTAGTCCTACTACCATCGCTCTTAGGGTCATGCTCACGGCCTCTAGAAGCTTAATAGCCTCCAGGAACTGTTGTGGCGGATCGTGGCGGATCTGAGATCCTTCTGCTAATGTAAGAGCTACCGGGGACTTACTGGAGAGTAGGGACTTACTGTAGGGGCTGAGGATCGAGTTGTAAAGAAGAAAGAACTCCTACGGATTGCTAAGCGATCATGAGATACTCCTTTTAGGTATTGAATAGACCTATGTGGCTTGAATTAAGAGCGTACTGCCTATAAGATGTATGATACCCTCAGAGAAATCTAATAGGAGTGGTACTGGGATGAAAAACTGTTTTTGTGTCTATGGTAGAGCTATGTAGCGTATACTGGAAGTGGTATGATGAAAGAACATTGACAAAAGATAAGTTTTAGGTAGCTCATTTCAAGAGTAAGGGTCGCTTGGAAGGCAGAAAATAAGAGACCTCTTTCGAGAGGGTTCAGGTCATGGGAGAATCCTCTTGAGAGGAAATTAGTCACAGTACGGCCAACTGAAGAGCACGTGCGACACAGAAGGATAAACGTCATATGAGCTGAGTCTTAATACTAGTTCTCTCCTAGTCCAATCATTCTGGACCTGGGCTGGTTTTGAGATGGTCTAGCGACCACGAATTGCGGATGGCGGTTTAGCCAGACGCTGTTCAGTGAGGATTGCGTTCATTGGCTTATCATCTTGCTGTAGGAGCGGGTCTGTGCAGTGGCTTTCATTGGACGACAGTGCATGCTGTGGACGCTAGACCCGCGTTCTCGTTTCAGAGCCTCGGTGGGCGCTTATATACAGCCACTGAAACCGTCCCACGATGAAGAAGGCGGAAGGGTGTTTTTTTGGCCCGCTCTCTGTCTGACTTGACTCGTTATGTATCTCGGTCACCCCACCTTCTACTTCCCGCTAACCGTCTCCTCCACCCTTCCTCTCAACACACTATATGACTATGTCTGCTCCCCCTTCAGACCCATTCGGCCTCCAATAACAACCAACAAAGAAGCAGTAGTTGATCAATTTCAAAATGAAGCATCAAAACAAGATACGAAGACATTCCACTGCCTGCAAAGAATGTCAGCGTCGGCGGACAAAAGGTAGGGAATATTATAATAGTATAGATCTTCTACTTACTTTTCGTTAAAATAGTGCAGTGGTGGAAATCCGTGCTCGGAATGCAGAAAACGCGACTGTGTCTGCGATGTCAATAAGAGCTCTGACAAACGACGCAAAGTCTACTTAAGT